AGTTTATCCACAATAAATATTGTCAACCGCTATACTTTTTTCTTCTTTTTATAGAAAGTACTGACTAGAGAAATATTGGTTGAAAGTTTTGAAATCAGATGGGTGGTTTTCTTTGTTGGAGCCAATAAGTGCAACTAATGGTATTTTTTCTCTGGCAATCAAGTATGATTTAGACAACAGAATAATGTTTAGTGTTTCATCATGTCATCATCAACAGAATCTGTGGGTTCTATAGTTTCGTTATTCAGAGTTAAACATTACGACTCATTTTAGCAAGTGAAGACCGCAACTTTGACTGCACCATTCACAACTTTTCTCTACGTGGCTTCTGAAAATTCTCGATATGCGTTAAATAGATACCCATCTTTTCATAAAAAAACATGTTATTAATATAATCTCCAGAATCATCTTGGTGTCATATTCAGGTTTCAATATTGGCTTACACATTACTGTAATCCTGTCTTACAGGTTTTGGGGTCATTTACCCATCCTCCTCTCTCTTAAAATGTACCTTCCTTTTACTTTGATATCTTATAACAATGTACTCCTGGCAATCCTTTTTTATCCTATTGTTTCAACAAGTAAATGTCCTTATATTTCCTTAAATACATAATGCACATATCTATCCATCTATCTTGTTTATTGACAATAATATACTCCTTACAATCTTTCTAGTACCTAAAAGCGAACACGTAAATATTTTACATTGTTTTCATGTTCCATCTATCTTTTTATGTAGATAATATGCATATCTTTCTTTCTCTTTATATCAATTATGTATATATCTATCAATTCTTTACAAAGATAATGCACAACCCATTTATCTCTTCATATAGATATATAATGTACCTATACTCGTGTCAATATTCGTTGAAGGTAAGTCAAAAGATGGGGCAATGTAGGCCGTCTCCACAACAACCGGCTCATAACACTTTAAAGCCCACTTCTGAATTGTTTGCCTTTGCTATGTGTGACACAGGAGCAAACAGAAATCACCATAACATACATAAACTGTCACTGCGCAAGGAGCGTTGTTCACGATCGCTATCCAAGCAAACTGCGTGTCTTCCATTGTACGAACATCAATATTTGACCTTCTACTTCTGTTACGAGTCTAACAACAGAGACGCATATGAACTTATATTTTGTTTCAGGACAGAAACCACGCCTGCATATTGTTACCTGACTCTCCCAAAAACCCTTGGGCAAAGGGCAACAAGGAATATTTTGTTGTATTTTTCAGCAACATGTGTTTGTAGCTAGCATCCTTTCAAACACAACAATGAGGCTGCTATAATGGATAACTTTGGAAAACGCAAGGCATGACCCAGTCATAAAACTGAACAAATGGAAAGTTCTTTTTGCAATATCCACTTGCCAGTTTTCATATAACGAGATTGTCAAACTATCTCGGGTTTAAAAAGATCAAACAAATAAAATAAATAAAAATAAACAAAGCAAATAATAGTAATCGTTACTTATTAAAAAGAGATGCGGCAGTTGGATAAAAGCTTCTTCTAAAAGTTTAAAGTCTACATTTGCTTGGGATAAATTTAAAAAGTTTATTAGCAGGGTGAATGGTATAGTTCATAATTTTTTTCGGTTTTAGAAGCCACTCTTTCCATATAAATTATTCCATAAATTATTTTAAGGGGAAATCCAACCCCACGTTTCATCTAAGTCCATCTAATTTATTAATTTCCTCCTCTGTGGCAGGTCCATACCATACTGTTACAGCAAAGGTTAAGACAGCGCCAAAATTAGATAAAACCAATTGGTTTCTTGTAAAGTCCCTCAGTTTTCTTTAAAAGTAAACTCTTTGTCTCGTTTTTCTCAGCTGTGTGTGTATGTAATAATATCATGTCAAGATGCAATTAAGATCAACCCCAAGCAGTATAAAATCTCACATTTGCTTAACTACAGTGTTGTCAATGTAAACAGGCTTCTTCTCATTCTTATTCTTTCTTAAATCTACTACCGTTTTTTCCCAACATTCAGAACAAGGTAATAATCGTTACACCATTCAACCGCTGATTCAATATTACGTCTGCATATAGTCTCTTGGTAAAACACTTGTCAGTCCTATAAGTGTTGTATAATGAGCAAACTTATAATAGATGTGCTTTCATGGTTGCTCACACTATCATATGTGAACAGGCTGTAAAAGCATGGCGATAAAAAACGGCCCTGAGGCGCACCTGTATTTAAAACCATTGTATCAGTAATAGGCTTGAACCAATTCTAACTGAGTGTGTGGGGTCATACCGCCGCTGTAGTTATTAGGGCGCTTTATAGAATATTGAAACTTCAATAACATTTTTTGCGTTTGAATAAATAAATCCCTTAATAATTTGTTGTCTGAGGTGTTGTGTGCATTTATTCATGGCCAGCCCGGTGGCCCGGGGTGGCACATTTTTGTTCGAGAAACCTGTTCTCACAAAACGTACTGGGTATTTAGAACTACTGTCGGGAAATAATGGTGTTTGCTTATGTTATAAGGTCATGGTTGCTTGTGAGACCAAGGACTCATTCCCATTGCAGATATCCGTCTATGTAGATCGATCCAACTCCGCAAGGACTGAATGCAGTCAGTTTAACAGATAACACGCCGTCTCCAGACATTGAGTAGAATGCAGCCGAGCTGGTAATTACACGAGTACGTTGAAAACAAAAGGAGGCTTGTTAATCTGTTAAACTGATTGTAGTCAGCGAGAGACCTCACAGAGTTGGATCGATCTACTTAGACCGATAGCTTCAATGGAAATGAGCCCTAAGCCTAATTACATAAGGTACGTTTAGCCACATGTATGGCCCGGGAGACGTGGAAGCTATTTAAAGGGTGACCAGATCGAACTTAAAAGTTAAGTACAAAGTAGAAGGATGAAGGGATAACATCACTAAACCCCTACACCCTTATTGAGCTATAAACATGAACCCATTGTGTATAACAGACCCAAGATTTGACTGATGAAATCGCCTCTTTTCAGGAGTTCAACTACAAAGGACTTTACTCATAACGCCACATGCTGACTTGGGTTTTACAAGTATGAAGACAAGATTGACCACTGGCTCTGTTCAGGTGGACACTGGGCATGGTTAGGGGGTGTGATAATTTTTATTGCTATCCATGAATTTCTCAACCAGCCCATCACACCAATATATATGGATTTACATATTCCGCAGCTGATGTTAATGTACTATACTCTGCGTAAAGCAACAACAGCCAAGATTACAGAGCATTTATCATCTCATATTATTCTGTTCACAGACAATAAAACCTTTACATTTCATTTCCCGCTTTTGGATTGATGACTTAAGTATGAACAATAGCCGACGGTAACCATCACAGGTTGATGATATCCAAGATGAATTTACCAATACCATTGCTTACAATGGACGCATTTGTTTAGGACCATTACTCAAGAGAGCACCGATACGCAATTTATTCAACGTGCGGGGATGAGCTTGTATGAGTTTTTTCATTCATATACATCATTCATATATCCTGTCACCAGAGGTTCATTAGATGGATAGCAATGCGTAAAAAGTAACTCATTTTATGACTTATTTGTTCTTCGTGGCTACTGAACATCAATTCACCTTTTTTAAAGAGACGTCATTGTCTTTTCTTAAGATATCTCGCCGTTTAAAAAATACAAGATTCCTTATAACCCTTCATAACTAATAATGCATTTAAATCGTGAGCAAATTTGAGATATTCTATCACAACTTCGCGACATTTACGGTACACCATGGATTTTGAATGGCATTATACGGCGGATCGATAACGACGCACCACTCCCGTGAAATTTACAGCAAGGCTGTCATTGGTTCGAACACGACCTGAAGGCCTTGTGATTTTGTTTCCGTATCCATGACGCGGGCCGCTGTAATAAACAGTTTTTAATCATGTGGGCATGACGTGTAGACATCAGAATATTAAAGCAAGTCTGTTTCTCCTTTGGAAAAGAAATCACCATGGTGCTACTAGGTTACGTTAACAGAAACACCAAACTACAGCGACGACGATAAAAAGGAGACGCCGTCTCTGAACTGCAGATATTTTTTGGAAACAGTGAAGAGGGCTTCGTTAACACATTATCTTAAATAGTTTATCAAACGAGTATTACATTCAGGAAAAAAAAGAAAAGATAAGAAAAAGCAATTAGAGATTCAACATCCGATTCGGCAATAAGCATCAACATGAAGTTTGTTTTAATTCTAACTCTGGTGATTTTTGCTGTTGGTGAGTATCTGCTTCTTTCGTTTTACAAGAATATTCATTTATGTCTTATTAATATTAAGGCCTTTATAATTTCTCTATTATTTTATTTGATATCAAAATGAAAGTAAATATCTGTTGGCGTGAATACATATTTGAAATATGTTACATACAAATGGAAAATGTTTAGCTTTAGTTCAGAGATTCATGAATTCAAGTACAATTTTGCCATGGTTAAAAAACGAAAAGAAATAATGAGAAAAAATTCCCTGCTTAACATTTCCATGAACTGTCCATTGCATGTTTGGATGGTGAACCAAAGAAATTATATCTGTCGTAATTATTGATAGGTTACCGCCGTTTAGCGTAAGGTGTTTATAAACTTCCAAAGGTATCGAATGCAAAAGACCTCCATTCTCTATATAAAATCCATTTTCGTTTCATGGATTTAAGTTCTATAAGAGAGGTTGCACAACGCAAATTCGTATCGATCTTTTGTTCACTATGTTAACGTTTCCTTCGCTACTAAGCAATGTAAGGAAATACTTTGAAGGCGCCTTTCTGTCGCAATTAAATGTGCTAAAAATTATCATATGAGTTTCACGAGGAAAACTTTAAAATTGATAAATAGTTCCTTTAAACCAAAAGAAAATGTAATAAAATAAAGTCATGGTTGTTCATAGAATGCTAGCTTGAAGTAGGTAAGAATTAATAAATGATTAAGCATTTTCTTGTTTTTATTTCAGCGTTGCCCTTCGCATCTTCGCAATCGTCATCAGCAGCAACCGCCTCAGATTCGTCATCGGCCTCTGCTGGGTCTGCCACATCCTCGGCCGCTGCTTCATCCTCCGCCTCTTCCGCATCCTCGGCCGCTGCTTCATCCTCCGCCGCTGCTTCATCATCGGCCGCTGCTGCATCATCGTCAACAAACGCAGCAGGATCTTCCGCGGCTGCCTCTTCCGCATTAGCTTCCTCTGCCGCCTCTAACGCCGCCGCTTCATCCGCCGTAGCCGCCTCCTCCTCCTCCGCCGCCGTAGCCGCCTCCTCCGCGGGTGCGTCGTCGTCAGCAGCAGCAGCAGCATCATCAGCTGGTGGCGGGGCAGCGTCATCAAGTGATTCAGCAGCCACGGTTTCAGTGGGTGGTTCCAACACAGCTTCTTCTGCGGGCAGCTCAGCTTCCAGTTCGGCCGCCTCAGGTGACAGCACCACTGCTGCTTCAAACGAAACCACCACCGCAGGAGAATTTGGCCACAATACAGGCAGTGACACCGTCGGCACCAGTCTTTTCTGCTTCTTTGCGGCCCTGATCATCTCTCTACTTCGGGCCTAAGCACCAAATGGAAAACCGCTACCCTATCACCATGTGCCCTTGGATGTGCCCTTGGACTGTTTCTCAATTTATAGGAAATCGGACATTGATCCTCCATTTTAAAGGCACCACCTTTACCTCAACAAACTTTCTGCTAATTTGACACCCCTCGTCCTATGGAGTCATGAACGATTCCTTTTCGATTTTCTAGGCTAAATATCGAGCATCCAAAAGTAACGGGGCGTCGGAAAAAATTGCCAATGATTTCAAACTGTGATGATGTGCGTAGCATGTCTACCGTGTCTACATTCCATACTCTGTATACTGTACTTAACCTTATGCAAGAAGTGGCAGAGACTGATAAGCGAAATCTGTGATAACTTCCGAAGACGAGAACTTGTCTTTTATTTTACATTTATTTTGAATGTCCGGTATTATCTGATTAGTATTCTATTTTTATCATCTTGCTGGTGTCCGTCCGTTTTATACATGTGTTATATAATATAAAATGTCTGTAATGTGTGTTTTAATGTCGCTGATGGCAGTGATTGTCTCCTGTTGAAGTCAAGTTCGATGAACCCTGTCGGTTCTCCTTGTCCTGTTAGGCGCACGCTTACGTGCCCCATCACAGTGAAGACAAAAACTAGCCGAGTGACTAAAAAATGGCCAACCCTGAAAATCGCCGATGATGATCTCGTGTTGATTCTCGAGATTTGATGAGCTGGTGACATTTTATTTGATGGAGTTGTGCCGAATTATTTTTGCATCATAAAATGTGTGATATTGAAGGAAAAATCTCCTGTCTCCTACTGAGAGTTGAGTAACTGAGCGAGCACTGTCATGATTACCCAATATGAAGTGACATTTGTAACTTTGATCAGTCGTATGCCATGTATTTATTTATTAATTTAATGATTTATGGAACGGTTGAAAAGAAAAGTAAGGGTATGATGTAAATGCAAAGCTTGTTATGAAGTAGCTATGACGCTCTGAGTTGTACAGTTGAGATAGTAAAAAAAATAAAGTTTTGTGCAATTATTTCAATATAATCAAGCTTTTTTGTTTGTCTTTCATCGCAATTATATACTTTTGAACTTTATGAATTCATATAAATAATCTGTAAAATCTTTTTAAAATTTGATTTATCACCATTTTGAGGAGAATTATGTGAATTCAACTCGCTCACACTATGTGCTTGAGTTATCCTTCATCACTTCTTAAACGCGTTTTTTTAAAGAAAACTGTCATGTTTTTGTCTGGTTACAATAAACTGCCTACTGCATCCGCCATTTATTTAACGATTTCTTACGCGCTTAGCAGAATAAACACGACCAGAATTTTTTGCTTCCCTCACGTATCTCTTCTTCTGTACAGATCTTAATTCCACAAAAATGGGCTTACTCGAAGTTTAAGTTCCGATTCAACCGTAACCTACGACAACTAACTCAAGATACCTTGTGTTGATATTATCAGCCAAGTTTTATTTCCCCATCATTCAAAGCCTAAATTTACGTTATTTTACACCATGCAAATATCTGCTATCAAAACACACCTGAAGTCTAAAATTTATACAAAGCATTATTAATGAACGTAGCTGGAAATGGCTTCGACAATGCTTACATTTCATATAAACACCAAGGAAATCAATATCCCTCTATGGCAACTCATGATCAACCAAGTGCTGTGTACACGAAACTTGCCTTTTTGCCGGATGTCAAACGTTTTAGTTCACTGCTTGGTTAAGTAAAATATATTATTCACAACAGATTATTTGCATGACTCAATCCCGTTGTTACTACTGACAACGACTAGCATAGATTGCTTATTAGCAACAATATATGCGCAAAACCATGTCGTTATCCCAGGTGTGAATATAGCATTTATCAGACACCAGTTATTTTCATTAATACTTGTAGCCCTTATGAATTTGTATGGTAAATTTGTATAAGTTCACAAGGACATGAGTATATAATCTCTGCCTCTGTCCTCACGGGTGACCCAACTCGTGAGGCAAAATTTCCTCCAGTGTATGTATGTGCCCATATGTACAATGTACGTAAAACAGGGACATTCTAGACAAAGTGATTCTCTCAGGCTATTCATTGACCCTTTCAATTTGTGGAATGTTTGTATTATTCTGACTTACCTGATCATTTTCTATGATTTCAACGTGGAAGGAATCACTTTTTTGTGGAAAGACTTAGCTACAAAAATGTTTGATACATTCGTCCCATATCTTAGCGAGACAATATTCGGTGCGTATTCCCATAGAACCCCATGCATAACAAACGGTACATTTGTGTTATCTTACATGTATTTTCCGTTTGTGAATTTTTATATATATTTAAAACTTGATAAACCGCCATCTTTTACTTCTTAGTAAAATAAAGATTCACCCTGTTTACCTCCCTGTACAAATTGTTTTATGCCAAACACTAGTTAATATTAACCAAACACCACACGTCGCCATTTTGTGATGGTAAACGGCTTCCTTTCATTAAAAGTAAGCGTACCCGCCGGAGTACTGGTACGGTGCAGTGCATTAACAGTAAATGCGGTAGGTGAGAAAATTCACAACTCGCGGATATACGGGTATAGGAAAACAATTATTATACTTGTATTTTTGTTATTAGCTCTTCTTGGTCCTCTGTTATGATTTATGGATAAAAGTAATACAAATAACAATCCCCCCTTCTCCGCGTGCTACTGCAAATGGTACTTAGTTAACTTCAGATATTACTAAGTATGCGTTTGGACTTGCTTAATAAATACATGGACATTATAGTTTTAAATCAAATTGAGGACAACATAAAGGAACATGTACATGGCAAAATTCAAGAAAAAACACTCAAGCGATATATACAATGTATATTAGACATTTATTTTTTTTTCTATTCCTCAACTGTTCAACTCAGCGCTTCATAGTAACGTCATAAAGAGCGTAAATAAAAAATTCATACCCTTGTTAAGACTCATTACATATGGAATATTGTTAAACCAATAAATACAAAACAAATAAATGAAAAACTTAGGGTATTCATGCTACTGCCCTGATCAATTACTCAGCACGTCTTAGTCCACAGGAGAAATATTTCTTTTCAATTTTCTTTGAAAATACATAAATTGTCAACACAAAAATTCATTGGCACATCCTCTAACATTCAGATCGCCATTTCATATCAGATCTCGAGAAGTACCGCGAGATCGTCATCGGCAAGATCGGTGGAGCGCCATATGCGTTTGAGTTGCGACATTAATTGATACTGGAACTGTAGCAAATCACATCGCATTTTTCAAGCGAGTGTGCATCTTGTGCATGCGACAAGGAGAACAAATTGGGTTCATCGGACTTGCCTCAAACAGCGGACACAATTGCTGTCAGCAACATTTTTTCCGTAAATATTGTATCAAAATAAACATCATGCTACTGTATGTCCTATTGATATGTTTAAATACACGTAATAATAGAAAACCGTCCATCTTGCTTCGGTATAACTAAGCTAAATATGTCTCATAAGAGATATCACAGATTGCAAGTTCATTTCAATTTGCCGTACTGCATATAGCATCGAAGGCACAACAGATCAAATCTTCACTGAGTCAAATATATATCACAGTTTTGAAGTATGGATATGCATGTACGTGATCTGTATTCAATTATTGTCCTTTCTTCCGTTTAAAGCATCTTCAGAGATATTATCCATAAAGTTATGTGTAAGAATAGATGTCATCTGAGAAGAGTGATAGTGGAGTAAGGAGATCGGTCCCAGGGGATATTTTCCCAAATCTAAGTCATATGATGTCATAAAATTTCATATATCCAACTGCAGTCCTGCTGCCTTTTCCATCACAGTTTTAAAAAATAAGCGGTGTAAGATACATAGGTGATGCCATTAACCTGGGTGACCAGCGCTGAAATTTCGAAATCAACTCGAAAATAATGTCCATTCGCCCACGTTAATGGCACTGCGAGTAGGGTCGTATTTTATCCGTGAACCAAGAAAGCTAAGAGAGCCAAAAAGAAGCATGCCATACTAACTGTGAATTGTGAAACGCCATTTTCGGGACCGAAATTGGCAGCAGTCGTCGTTGCTTCTGTGGAGTTTGATGAAGAGGTAACAGCAGTAGAACTGGATGATGAAGACGCTGCCGATGATGTAGCTGCTACAGCAGTAACTGTAACGGTTGAATCTGAGGCTGCTGCTGCGGCTCCTGCTGTTGTTGTTGCTGCCGCTCCTGATGATGTTGCTGCTGCAGCTGCTCCAGAGGACGACGCCGCAACGGCTGAGGAGGAGGCGGCTGCCCCAGCGGAGGATGAGGCGGCTGCTCCAGCAGAAGATGAGGCGGCTGCTCCAGCAGAGGACGAGGCAGCTGCTCCAGCAGAAGATGAGGCGGCTGCTCCAGCAGAAGATGAGGCGGCTGCTCCAGCGGAGGATGAGGCAGCAGCTCCAGCAGAGGATGAGGCGGCTGCTCCAGCAGAGGATGAGGCTGCTGCTCCAGCAGAGGACGAGGCGGCTGCTCCAGCAGATGATGAGGCACCTGCTCCAGCAGAGGAAGAGGCACCTGCTCCAGCAGAGGACGAAGCACCTGCTCCAGCAGAGGATGAGGCACCTGCTCCAGCAGAGGATGAAGCACCTGCTCCAGCAGAGGATGAGGCACCTGCCCCGGCAGAGGATGAGGCTCCGGCAGAGGATGAGGCACCAGCTCCGGCAGAGGATGAAGCACCTGCTCCAGCAGAGGATGACGCACCGGCAGAGGATGACGCAGCGGCAGAGGATGACGCACCTGCTCCAGCAGAAGACGAAGCACCTGCTCCAGCGGAGGATGAGGCACTTGCTGCAACAGAGGATGACGCACCGGCAGAGGATGACGCACCTGCAGAGGATGAGGCACCGGCAGAGGATGAGGCACCTGCTCCAGCAGATGATGAGGCACTTGCTCCAGCAGAGGATGACGCACTTGCTCCAGCAGAGGATGAGGCACCTGCTGACGCCGTGTCTGATGAAGAGCTCTGTGAGTATGCGGAATGCAACACTAAAAGAAAAAGAAAGAAATGATTAAACGGCGTAATTCATTTTTTTTTTCTTTACCCTCTCTTTTTTTAAGCAGTGAAAATAAATGTAATCTTTTTCATGCAAATGCTACATTTTTTCTTTCAAAATAGATTATAACAACAAAGTGTAATCTATATCATTAATAGCCGCAGTATTGCTACGTCACCCACGTATTTCCAAAGCAACACAGTGTTCAAATTTTGATAAAGGATAAGATGATAATTATCAGAGGTGTCTATTTCTATTGACTGGACAACGGCGCACTATGTTTGCACAAACTACTTTTGATCGATGCTTAATTCAAGTGGTAAGTTAACTTCTCAGTTAAGTTTACTCATGAATTGATTGTACACACAGATTTTTCTAGTATGAATCAGATGTTCGCCTTAAGACTAGAAAAACACTACACTTGTCGCTTTAGAGTCTTATCCTTTGTTGTCTTTTCCTTTTAGTTTGAGGTTAGCACCTCAGTTTATAAACATATGTGCATCGTTAAATTGCAGAAATTATTTTTGCTCGCATTCATATACTTCAAATAGGAAGTAACTTCATTCTAGGATCTTGCAAAGGCATATCTTAAAAGTAACAGCACCGCGAGATTTATCCTGAAAAATAACACGCAGATCCAACTGATGTTGCGCGTCTCTTTAAATCATTTTAAGCCAATCTCGTAAAGACTTTTAAAATGATTGTGAAATTTAAATGATCTGTAGAACAATATTTAATCCAATTGGCGCTATTTATTGGCGCTTCAGTTAACCTGGTTTTCAGTTTTGATGACGCTCAGTTGGATGTGAACGACAAAGAAATGATGTTGTCACATTTTTGTCCTTTTTTGTTCACTGTGTTTTCGCTTGAAGATGATTCCATAATCTATTTTTTATAAGAGAATACTATCATGTTTGAAATGAAAAAAAAATTGAATGTTAGACGTGCTATTAACGAATTTTGGTCGAATTCACATAACTTTTTAGACTGTGCGTCGCGCAGGTAGCTTTATCACTCACTATGAAAAAAGTTGACGGAAAATTAATTACAAATGTATACCCTACATTAAGTTTAATTAAATAAATTATTTTACTGAAAACGAAAAAATGAAAAATAACTTACCAAATGCAACAAGCAGTAAGTGAAGAAGCAACGTAAATTTCATGTTTGGTTTTGTAGTATAAATCTCAGTTAGATAAGGTGCTTCTGCGGTTCCCTGGCTTCCTAAAACTCCTTCTGTTAAAATCTATGTGCAGCGCCTTTTTTAAATCTTACTTTCACGTGTTCCTTCTTAGGCGCTTCTGAGATTTCTGATGCTGTTAGAGACGGCAGCGTATGTTTTATCATCTTCGCAATATTTTTGTGTTTCTCTCTCGGTAGCATGGTGACACCATGGGGACGGATTTCTGATGCCACAACAATAGTCCTCTTCGCCATCCTTATTTCTTGGCCTCCCATCTGACCACAAGGTCCGAGGAAGATTTTGTTCAAAGCAATCCCTTTATTTTTCTGAATACATCCCTATGGGGCCATGACCGAGCATTCAGATAATTCAAGTCCATGTTTGCGTTACTGGACTACCCATTGTGGGTTAGGTGTCGTCTTGCAAAACTGAATCAACATTTTCGGACTCACAAATGCGGCTGATTTATTCGTTCAGAATTGCCCTATTATTATTTCGGACATTACATAAGGCATTGAAACCTAACGGCATACTGAATGAAGATGTCTCTAAGCAACTGAGTAAACTTTTAGATGATATATTATGGTCTACTTTACCTACCTTCGTGTTTTGCGTTGAGATTTCCCTTTCTTTGAAAAAATTATTTAGGAAAAAAGAAAAAAGAAAGGCTTTACTGTTTTTGTTTTGGTCTTGGCATCTTCAAGTTTTATTTCTGTTTTCCATGTCCTTTTTTACATGTTCCATTTAGCACATGTGCATTCTTTAGAAGAAATTTGCGTTCGCGTTACTTTTACCTGATAAAACAGATCAACCTTATTTTTCAAATATTTCAAAAAATGTGCCGTTCTTTACATGGTTTTATGTGAAAAGGGAGGTAGCGTGTGTCCAGTTGTAGGTGATGTCACAATAGTGTTCAAATTACTCCCCAACAATGTCTCCACTGGGACTGAACGTTAGTGAATGGTGCCTTTCTCCCAGCTCGATGATAAAATGAATAGCTCGCTAAGCGTGAGCTGCCATTACGATCCACTTTGAATAATACCCCCCAGTTAAAAGTTTCAATCTCTTCTTGGGAAATGAACACTTGCAGAGATGAGACTTATATAATACGGTATATTACTTGGTTTTATTCTCTCTCTTCATTGTGAATAGACTGGTTTGATTAGTGTATAGACTATCAAAACATCAATTAAAACGGCCTACTTTTGATGAAGATAATTCCGATATCAAATTGACCAAGTGACAACACCCATCCTACATACAAACAGAGCAATCGACAATCGATATCAACAAACAAAGGTATGTTTTTAAGGGAATTTTTTCTCGCCAGCTTTCCCTGGATTCGGTTAAAGTTATAGGAGGAAGTGCCGCTATGATCCCAAATCTTAAACCAACTGTCAACTTCAAATACAACACACGAACTTTTCAACAACTTTCAATATATATACTGTATATATTTTGCTAATTTTCAACCAAACGATTCGTGAGGAAACCTTGACACCACTGTTCTAATTAAAGATTATTATTTTTCTTTTTATGGTGTTTTTCATCTTTTAAAGTGGGTTTGTTTCCCATCCACGCGACTGACGCAGCTTAAAGCCGAAATTAAAGTAATTGTTCTTCTTTTTCACGTAGATGGCCACGGTTTCCTGTTCACAACTTGTTCGATTGCCAATGCTGTCATGGGAGACTCCAGTTCTTGACCAGAGAAATAAATGACATTGATGTAAAGATCAGTCAGTGGTTCAACTCTGGATACCTAACAATGTCGCCGTGTGACAGCATACAATTTGCTTGGGAAAATACATGTATTGTACATGTATAATAGATAGCCATCTACAGTTTTCCATAATCTCAGCCACTGAAACGATCTCATTTAAATTGAATATTCTCAGTAGCCTGTAAATATTTTGGATGTCCTTCAATGAATTATTTGAATTTTCAAGTAAAAGTTCGAAATGCGAGAAATCTAATTGCTAATGAAGTCTTGTTTTGAGCAAGAATTATGAAATCACGAGCAAGCAAAAAGAATAACACAGGTACATAGATGGAAATAAAGCGAGTGTTTAAAATCCGTGTTGGTAGTTGTGAGGATTGCAAATATTGCGGCTGCCTGCCCGCTGCCCATCCCCTGTGTTCTCCCCTTGTGCATACATGACATTGCTCCAAAACTGACCGTTTCCAAGGATTGAAAATCCTTACTGTACACATTTGGGGTTTCAGACAATGAAGAGACGGTGATTGTTCAACTTTTTCAAGCTGCCTTAACTGTTGTTGATTTAACGCCACTTGAAATATGAACTGCGTTTAGTCAATCTTGACCACGAGCAGCTTAATTTATTGGGCATTGATAAAATCAGAGTGTCCCATTTGTCCAAAAATGTATCTTGAGTACGAATCTGGTTCAATTAACATTGTACAAATAATGTGATTGATCTCTTTGTGACGTAAACTTTATTCAATCTTCGGTGGTCTTCCTCTCGGGAAGTAATCGTAAGGTTCTTTTGCGTAACCAACGTCCACCAAGAGGATGCGATCTAAGTGACTGAGTAATTGAAGGAAAAGAAACCTGTTCATAATCAAATATTAACAACGTACGGCTGGCCAGTGATGATTGTTGGCGATATGACAAAAACATATAAACTAATATGCTGGTTTCGTCGATCCCATACAGGCAGCTGCTATTTCTCCCCGATTTGTGATTTAAAATCTGAAAATTCTAAAGGACTCATGATCTAACGCTAATCAACCGTAGCGCACACAAATAGGGGCCTTGAGCTTGCATTTCCCCGGGGGAAATGAAAACACAAATTACCCAATTTTCTGACTCCTTGTGTTTGTGGACTAAATTGTGTGGGCCTTTCTGCTGGGCCGCGTCCAACATAATCAGCTTTCACTGTCATACTGTAGTGATGTTTTCCACGTGAGCAAACCCCGTGACACGGTGACCAGCGACGTGCCTTACTCAAGAACCCTTGAAATCCCAAGGACAAACACGCCCCTCTAACTGAGGGGAGTTAAATATTTAGAGAAGCTGAGACGTGAGACGGGGCGAGAGCGAACCGCTCTCTGTTTGCCACTTATTAGCCAAATGAACGGGCATTTACATTCTACGTGGTATCATGGAGCCTTTATACGTGTATTGTAGGGCACATAAATCTTAACTCCTGTGGGCCCCACCCTTTGGTCATGCGCATTTTTTTTTTTTTTTTTTTTTTTTTTTTTTTTTTTTACTTCTCTCTTTATACCACTTCATAAAGATAAAATACAAAAACATTTAAGATCTATAGGGGTTGGGGTGTTAATAATGATCCGCGCGATGTGCGTTACACAAATTGCTCTACTGCTGACTACTACGGACATTTTACACAGGAGCCAGAGGAAAGATGACTGATTTCAGTACGGTGTTATAAACCGAAGACATTGTCTCTGGGATCAAACTAGCCACCGACACCAAGTGCTGAGAAATACTCTGTCGTTGATATAAGACTACTATTAGGTTAAAGTTTGTAGAAAAAGATATTTGACAGCATGGCATTGTACACGTGAACTTGCGTCCGTGAAGCACTTAATCAAGTGTTGTAAAATTCTAAATTTAAGTGGTCTGCCATTCAATAAACAGTAAAATACGGCACACACTCTATTAAGTACGTCACATTCCATACAATGGAGGCACGGAATGTAGACGGAGAGATGGGCATATTTATTCCTGGAATTTCGTGGCAAAAGTTGGTTATCCTATCATCCCACCCGTCCGTGCATCTGTGTGTCCGTGCGTTAGTAATTTCCGCTATTTCCTCCCAGACTATAAGAGTTAGGAACTTTGGGGATTAATAGACCCATCATCAGGGATGTGCACTTCGGAATTCGATTGACAAATAAAATGTGAACAACTACAAGCGAATATGTGTGCGCGCGCGCGTGTGTGTAACAAGCTGCCTTAGAAATCTATACAACGCGGTCATACTAAATAGAACACGCATCACAGCATAGGGTACCCCTACCCCATCCAATTGACTTAAAACAGGGTTATAGTACGTCAAATAACATATTTGTGCTTCACCAAATTTATGAAAGGATAAAAGGGAAGAAAAAAGTAAGCACCATTTTCATTAAACGCATACGATAGTGTTTGGAGAAATGAACTGCTGCTCAAGCTAAAAACCGTGGGAATTGGACTTACATGCAAAAACATAAAGAGCATGTACGAAAACTCAATAGCACGTGTCAAGACAACAAATGGTATATCGCTGGTCTTTAGTGTAGGACTAGGTGTAAAACAAGGTGACATTCTGAGCCCGTTTCTCTTTAATATTATATTATTTATAACCTCCTTAGATCAAATGATGGCAAAGTACTGCAAGTCCAAGGCTTACTATATGTTGGTGGCCTCTTTCTAAAGCTCAAGACACTCGAAGGGCTAAGATGAAGTCTGGAAATTGTAGAAAACTTTTGTTACAAGTGGAGACTGACTGATAATGTCTACAAAACTAGAAGAGTTACCTCCAACTCAAAATCAAACGCACGTATTTTCTTCTTTTTTTGTATGGTAATCCAATTCAAGAGGCCACCAAGCACATCTACTTAGGTCTTTTTTTTTAAACCCGATCAAGATGTTTTACAAAAACTCAATAATCTCCTCCAACGTGCTACAAAAGCCTTCTATAGTATGGTTAAGTGTCTACCACTGCAGAGTAATGTTTGCACACCCCTTTAAGAAAAATATTCGATACTCTCATTTCTCCAATCCTTACACACTGTTGAGAGATAGGGACTACTCTGTGTTTGCTGATAAATGCTCTGCAGAAGAATTGCAGCTAAAATTTTGCAAACAAGTCCTTGGACTCCACCAAAACGTATCAAACTATGGTTTATACACTGAGCCAAGCCGCCCTCCCTTCTATACATGTACTACAAAACAGTCCTCTATACTACAAGACAGTTTGCAGCTATCAGACTGTGGTAGATTACCCAGGCGTCTCATGATACATTTATAAAACAAACATACACGAGATCACTAGTTATGAGTTGCTGACACTTTATGTTCCACCTGCAGGTCACATCCTCAGGCCGGCTTCCATGCTGAGGGATCCTCATCTTTAGACCTACATTTGGCCTTGGGAATGTGTGGCTAAGCTATCTTTCATTTTGACTCACAGCTTAAGTAAAACTTTTTACGAACGACGCTTTCTTGACATTGCTGGATACGGTCACTTTACAAGCTAATCTGATCAATTTTTTAGCTCGTAGTTAATTTTTTCATAAATTGACGAGGGGCTAACTTACCCCGGGGCCCAACTAGCCCCGGTCTCCCCTATTTTTATAAAAAAAAAAACATTCCCGATTCTTCAGGTGATAATAGGTGGAGTGGCTAGCCTTGCTAGTTAACAGCATTTAACTCAGAATGAAAGGGGGCTGCAACAATTCAGTCGCTTAAAGTCAATCAGACGAAATGCGTTGGAAAAAAGGCATATCTACAGAACATTCTTGAACTTTGAACTAGACAATGTAATAGACGGAAAAGATCATGAAAAGGGCAAACGTTAGGGCTTATTCTATTTGTCGTTTCGTTTGGATACCAAAAGAAATGAAGCTCTTTAATCCACTTAACGATATTTTTGTGCGCCATTGATTGGCGGCAGGCCATCGAGCGCGATCTAACGATGACCATTCGCTACTACTAAACTGCAGTTTTGAAGTGGAGAATAGGCGATCGAACTCCGTACTGATACTTCATTAGTCGACAAAGGTATCATTAAACCGCTCTGTTTATATCAATGTTAAAGATCTAAGTGGATTTTGGAAAGTCAAGTTTTAACTTCAAACCATTTAGAAACGCACTGATCAGCCTTAGCCAACACAACATTTCTTGTATACACCGAAGAATGTATTTTGAATATGCATGTTGTCCTTTTTCCATTTACTCGATGCCCCGTGTGCCATACGTTTTAAAACAACATCCTATAAATTTCAACCCACCAATCATTATGAAACAGGTATTAAAAAGTTTTATAAATATTCAATAGATCTCAACCCTATTACAAACATGCATTAAGTTGGAGTACATAATTAGGCTTTCTCTAAGAGGCTCTCATCTCTTTGTTCAATGACATATGCTGATAGGCGTGAAGAGATATTCGAAAACCTATTCCGTTTAAACTTTGTTTCCTTCATTTTGCTTGTGCGACTGAGAAGGTGTGCAGCCATGTGAACAGTCTAAAAAGTGATGAAAACCTTAATGTTCGTTCCCTTGGTAGCGGGGAGTTTGTGAATTTTTAATTGGGTGGATTGTGGGAGATTNGCTCCGGCAGAGGATGAGGCTCCGGCAGAGGATGAGGCACCAGCTCCGGCAGAGGATGAGGCACCTGCTCCAGCAGAGGATGACGCACCGGCAGAGGATGACGCAGCGGCAGAGGATGACGCACCTGCTCCAGCAGAAGACGAAGCACCTGCTCCAGCGGAGGATGAGGCGCTTGCTGCAACAGAGGATGACGCACCGGCAGAGGATGACGCACCTGCAGAGGATGAGGCACCGGCAGAGGATGAGGCACCTGCTCCAGCAGATGATGAGGCACTTGCTCCAGCAGAGGATGACGCACTTGCTCCAGCAGAGGATGAGGCACCTGCTGACGCCGTGTCTGATGAAGAGCTCTGTGAGTATGCGGAATGCAACACTAAAAGAAAAAGAAAGAAATGATTAAACGGCTAAATTCATTTTTTTTCTTTACCCTCTCTTTTTTTAAGTAGTGAAAATAAATGTAATCTTTTTCATGCAAAGGCTACATTTTTTCTTTCAAAATAGATTATTACAACAAAGTGTAATCTATATCATTAATAGCCGCAGTATTGCTACGTCACCCACGTATTTCCATAGCAACACAGTGTTCAAATTTTGATAAAGGATAAGATGATAATTATCAAAGGTGTCTATTTCTATTGACTGGACAACGGCGCACTATGTTTGCACAAACTACTTTTGATCGATGCTTAATTCAAGTGGTAAGTTAACTTCTCAGTTAAGTTTACTCATGAATTGATTGTACACACAGATTTTTCTAGTATAAATCAGATGTTCGCCTTAAGACTAGAAAAGACCACTACACTTGTCGCTTTAGAGTCTTATCCTTTGTTGTCTTTTCCTTTTAGTTTGAGGTTAGCACCTCAGTTTATAAACATATATGCATCGTTAAATTGCAGAAATTATTTTTGCTCGCATTCATATACTTCAAATAGGAAGTAACTTTATTCGAGGATCTTGCAAAGGCATATCTTAAAAGTAACAGCACCGCGAGATTTATCCTGAAAAATAACACGCAAATCCAACTGATGTTGCGCGTCTCTTTAAATCATTTTAAGCCAATCTCGTAAAGACTTTTAAAATGATTGTGAAATTTAAATGATCTGTAGAACAATATTTAATCCAATTGGCGCTATTTATTGGCGCTTCAGTTAACCTGGTTTTCAGTTTTGATGATGCTCGGTTGGATGTGAACGACAAAGAAATGATGTTGTCACATTTTTTGTCCTTTTTTGTTCACTGTGTTTTCGCTTGAAGATGATTCCATAATCTATTTTTTTATAAGAGAATGCTATCATGTTTGAAATGGAAAAAAAATTGAATGTTAGACGTGCTATTAACGAATTTTGGTCGAATTCACATAACTTTTTAGACTGTCCGTCGCGCAGGTAGCTTTATCGCTCACTATGAAAAAAGTTGACGAAAAATTAACTACAAATGTATACCCTAACATAAGTTTAATTAAATAAATTATTTTACTGAAAACGAAAAAATGAAAAATAACTTACCAAATGCAACAAGCAGTAAGTGAAGAAGCAACGTAAATTTCATGTTTGGTTTTGTAGTATAAATCTCAGTTAGATAAGGTGCTTCTGCGGTTCCCTGGCTTCCTAAAACTCCTTCTGTTTCAATCTATGTGGAGCGCCTTTTTTAAATCCGACTTTCACGTGTTCCTTCTTAGGCGCCTCTGAGATTTCTGATGCTGTTAGAGACGGCAGCGTATGTTTTATCATCTTCGCAATATTTTTGTGTTTCTCTCTCGGTAGCATGGTGACACCATGGGGACGGATTTCTGATGCCACAACAATAGTCCTCTTCACCATCCTTATTTCTTGGCCTCCCATCTGACCACAAGGCCCAAGGAAGATTTTGTTCAAAGCAATCCTTTTATTTTTCTGAATACATCCCTATAGGGCCATGACCGAGCATTCAGATAATTCAAGTCCATGTTTGCGTTACTGGACTACCCATTGTGGGTTAGGTGTCGTCTTGCAAAACTGAATCAACATTTACGGACTCACAAATGCGGCTGATTTATTCGTTCAGAATTGCCCTATTATTATTTCGGACATTACATAAGGCATTGAAACCTAACGGTATACTGAATGAATATGTCTCTAAGCAACTGAGTAAACTTTTAGATGATATATTATGGTCTACTTTACCTACCTTCGTGTTTTGCGTTGAGATTTCCCTTTCTTTGAAAAAATTATTTAGGAAAAAAGAAAAAAGAAAGGCTTTACTGTTTTTGTTTTGGTCTCGGCATCTTCAAGTTTTATTTCTGTTTTCCATGTCCTTTTTTACATGTTCCATTTAGCACATGTACATTCTTTAGAAGAAATTTGCGTTCGCGTTACTTTTACCTGATAAAACAGATCAACCTTATTTTTCAAATATTTCAAAAAATGTGCCGTTCTTTACATGGTTTTATGTGAAAAGGGAGGTAGCGTCTGTCCAGTTGTAGGTGATGTCACAATAGTGTTCAAATTACTCCCCAACAATGTCTCCACTGGGACTGAACGTTAGTGAATGGTGCCTTTCTCCCAGCTCGATGATAAAATGAATAGCTCGCTCAGCGTGGGTTGCCATAACGATCCACTTTGAATAATACCCCCCAGTTAAAAGTTTCAATCTCTTCTTGGGAAATGAACACTTGCAGAGATGAGACTTATATAATACGGTGTATTGCTTGGTTTTATTCACTCTCTTCATTGTGAATAGACTGGTTTGATTAGTGTATAGACTTTCAAAACATCAATTAAAACGGCCTACTTTTGATGAAGATAATTCCGATATCAAATTGACCAAGTGACAACACCCATCCTACATACAAACAGAGCGATCGATATCAACAAACAAAGGTATGTTTTTAAGGGAATTTTTTCTCGCCAGCTTTCCATGGATTCGGTTCAAGTTATCGGAGGAAGTGCCGCTATGATCCCAAATCCCATGTCGACTGTCAACTTTAAATACAACTCACGGACTTTTCAACAACTTTCAATATATATACTGTATATATTTTGCTAATTTTTAACCAAACGATTCGTGAGGAAACCTTGACACCACTGTTCTAATTAAAGATTATTATTTTTCTTTTTATGGTGTTTTTCATCTTTTAAAGTGGGTTTGTTTCCCATCCACGCGACTGACGCAACTAAAAGCCGAAATTAAAGTAATTGTTGTTCTTTTTCACGTAGATGGCCACGGTTTCCTGTTCACAACTTGTTCGATTGCCAATGCTGTCAAGGGAGACTCCAGTTCTTAACCAGAGAAATAAATGACACTGATGTTAAGATCAGCCAGTAGTTCAATGCTGGATACCTAACAATGCCGCTGTGTGACAGCATAAAAATTGCTTGGGAAAATACAGGTACAATAGAAACCCATCTACAGTTTTTCACAATCTCAGCCACTGAACGATCTCATTTTAATTGAATATTCGCAGTAGCCTGTAAATATTTTGGATGTCTTTCAATAAATTATTTGAATTTTCAAGCAAAAGTTCGAAATGCGAGAAATGTAATTGCTAATCCTACGTTAAATTCAATTTTATGTTAATGGGGTAAATCCATACCTATGAGAAAAAAAATGAAGTCTTGTTTTGAGCAAGAATTATGAAAATCACGAGCAAGCAAAAAGAATAAGACAGGTACATAGATGGAAATAAAGCGAGTGTTTAAAATCAGTGTTGGTAGTTGTGAGGATTACAAATATTGCGGCTGCCTGCCCGCCGCCCATCCCCTGTGTACTTCCCTTGTGTATACATGACATTGCTCCAAAACTGACCGTTTCCAAGGATTGAAAATCCTTACTGTACACATTTGGCGTTTCAGACAATGAAGAGACGGTGATTGTTCAACTTTTTCAAGCTGCCTTAACTGCTGTTGATTTAACGCCACTTGAGATATGAATTGCGTTTAGTCAATGTTGACCACGAGCAGCTTAATTTATTGGGCATTGATCAAATCAAAGTGTCCCATTTGTTCAAAAATGTATCCTGAGTACGAATCTGGTTCAATTAACATTGTACAAGTAATGTGATTGATCTCTTTGTGACGCAAACTTTATTCAATCTTCGGTGGTCTTCCTCTCGGGAAGTAATCGTAAAGTTCTTTTGCGTAACCAACATCCACCAAGAGGATGCGACCTAAGTGACTGAGTAATTGAAGGAAAAGAAACCTGTTCATAATCAAGTATTAACAACGTACATTGTACGGCCAGTGATGATTGTTGGCGATATGACAAAACCATATAAACTAATATGCTGGTTTCGTCGATCCCATACAGGCAGCTGCTATTTCTCCCCGATTTGTGATTTAAAATCTGAAAATTCTAAAGGACTCATGATCCAACGCTAATCAACCGTAGCGCACACAAATAGGGGCCTTGAGCTTGCATTTCCCCGGGGGAAATGAAAACACAAATTACCCAATTTTCTGACTCCTTGTGTTTGTGGACTAAATTGTGTGAGCCTTTCTGCTGGGCCGCGTCCAACATAATCAGCTTTCACTGTCATACTGTAGTGATGTTTTCCACGTGAGCAAACCCCGTGACACGGTGACCAGCGACGTGCCTTACTCAAGCACCCTTGAAATCCCAAGGACAAACACGCCCCTCTAACTGAGGGGAGTTAAATATTTAGAGAAGCTGAGACGTGAGACGAGGCGAGAGCGAACCGCTCTCTGTTTGCCACTTATTAGCCAAATGAACGGGCATTTACATTCTACGTGGTACCATGGAGCCTTTATACGTGTATTGTAGGGCGCATAAATTTTAACTCTTGTGGGGCCCACCCTTTTGGTAACTCGCATTGTTTTTTCTATTTTATTTCTTCCCTTTCACCACTTCATAAAGATAAAAAACAAGAGCATTTTTAGATCTATAGGGGTTGGGGTGTTAATAATGATCCGCGCGATGTGCGTTTCACAAATTGCTCTACTGCTGACTACTAAGGACATTTTACACAGGAGCCAGAGGAAAGATGACTGATTTCAGTACGGTGTTATAAACCGAAGACATTGTCTCTGGGATCAAACTAGCCACCGACACCCATCGCTGAGAAATACTCTGCCGTTGATTTAAGACAACTGTTAGGCTATAATTTTGTAGAAAAACAGATTTGACAGTTTGGCATTGTACACGTGAACTTGCGTCCGTGAAGCACTTAATCAAGTGTTGTAAAATTCTGAATTTTAGTGGTCCGCCATTCAATAAAGTGCCCATTTAAACTAAATGGTATTTAAAACTCACACAGGAGGGCTGCATAGGGACCTTTATCCCTGCATCCTCTTTGTTCTAACATGCAGTGGTCACGTGTAACTGACCAGTGGCCAGTCCAATCACATCAGCTGCCTCGTTTGGATATTTGGTCACGTGAAACTGCCCAACGGTCACTCACAGCTTTAAACTGCACAGCGGCAGCAGCAAGCCATCGCAGCTCAGCGTAGATTTTATGAACTTTGCAATGTGTTAACTGTATAATTTTTTTTTTCTCTGTGTATTTCAACATCTACGTATATTGCTAGTAAGTCCACAGTTGATCTAGAATCATGGCAGCAGAAGAATTCCAAAGTTGGAGGTTAGAGAACGAACTCTCTGACGAGACAATGGAGCTAACAGTTAAATACAGCACACATCTATTAAGTACGTCACATTCCATACAATGGAGGCACGGAATGTAGACGGAGAGATGGGCATATTTATTCCTGGACTTTCGTGGCAAAAGTCGGTTATCGTGTCATCCCACCCGTCCGTGCATCTGTGTGTCCGTGCGTTAGTAATTTCCGCTATTTCCTCCCAGACTATAAGAGTTAGGAACTTTGGGGATTGATAGACCTATCATCAGGGATGTGCACTTCGGAATTCGATTGACAAATAAAATGTGAACAACTACAAGCGAATGTGTGCGCGCGCGTGTGTGTGTAACAAGCTGCCTTAGAAATCTATACAACGCGGTCATACTAAATAGAATACAAGTCCACACATCACAGCATAGGGTACCACTACCCCATCAAAATGACTTTATACACGGTTATAGTACGTCAAATAACATATTTGTGCTTCACCAAATTTATAAAAGGATATAAGGGAAGAAAAAAAGTAAGCACCATTTTCATTAAACGCATACGATAGTGTTTGGAGAAATGAACTGCTGCTAAAGCTAAAAACCGTGGGAATTGGAGGACTTACATGCAAAAACATAAAGAGCATGTACGAAAACTCAATAGCATATGTTAAGACAACAAATGGTATATTGCCGGCCTTTAATGCAGGACTAGGTGTAAAACAAGGTGACACTCTGAGCCCGTTTCTCTTTAATATTCTTATTTAAAACCTCCTTAGATCAAATGATGGCAAAGTACTAAAAGTCCAAGACTTACAATATGTTCTTGGCCTCTTTCTAAAGTTCAAGACACTCGAAGGGCTAATACGAAGTCTGGAAAGTGCAGAAAACTTTTGTTACAAGAGGAGAACGACTGTCATAGCTACAAAACTAGAAAAGTAGTTACCTCCAACTCAACATCAAACGCACGTTTCGATTTTTTTTTTTTTTTTTTTTTTTTTTTTTTTGTATGGAAATCCAATTCAAGGGGACACCAAGTACATATACTTAGGTCTTTTTTCTTACCCGATCAAGATGTTTTACAAAAACTCAATAATCTCCCCCAACGTGCCACAAAAGCCTTCAATAGTATGGGTAAGTGTCTACCACATCAGAGTAATGTTTGCACACCCCTTTTAGAAAAAATATCCAATCCTTACACACTGTTGAGAGATATGGGGCTACTCTGTGTTTGTTGATAAATGCCCTGCAGAAAAATTGCAGCTAAAATTTTGCAAACAAGTCCTTGGACTCCACCAAAACGTATCAAACTATGGTCTATACACTGAGCCAAGCCGCCCTCCCTTCTATAGTACAAAACAGTCCTCTATACTACCAAACAGTTTGCAGCTATCAGACTGTGTTGGTAGATTATCCAGGCGTCTCATGATACATTTATAAAACAAACATGTAAACGAGATCACTAGTTATGAGTTGCTGACACTTTATGTTCCACCTGCAGGTCACACCCTCAGGCCGGCTTCCATGCTGAGGGGATCCTCATCTTTAGACCTACATTTGGCCTTGGGAATGTGTGGCTAAGCTATCTTTCATTTTGACTCGCCTCTTAAGTAAAACTTTTTTACGATCGACGCTTTCTTGGCATTGCTGGATACGGTCACTTTACAAGCTAATCTGATCAATTTTTTAGCTCGTAGTTAATTTTTTCATAAATTGACGAGCGACTAACTTACCCCGGGGCCCAACTAGCCCCGGTCTCCCCTATTTTTATAAAAAAACATTCCCGATTCTTCAGGTGATAATAGGTGGAGTGGCCAGCCTTGCTAGTTAACAGCATTTAACTCAGAATGAAAGATTAACCATTAAGGGCTGCAACAATTCAGTCGGTCAAAGTCAATCGGCGAAATGCGTCCGCAAAAAGGCATTTGTGCAGAACATTCTTGAACTTTGAACTAGACAATGTAATAGACGGAAAAAGGACAAACGTTAGGGCTTATTCTATTTGTCGTTTCGTTTGGATACCAAACGAAATATTGGGCTTAATAAACTACATGTATTACTGAAAACTCATCATTTCTTCTCAGTATTTATCCCAACGGCACGACTAAGGGAAAACATATTCACAAAAACTGATACCGTTGAATGAACTGCAAGAGACAATAGTAATATCAGTCTCGTATAAATAATCCATTTATAATTTGCCGCACCAAGTATACTCTATCATTTTTCAATATGACAGGAATAACAGTGGCCCGTAGAAAATAATTCGTGGAAAAAATAACCAGACGTGAAAATGAGATAATTGCAATTCCTTGTGTTCAGACGTATTTTAATAATTTATAAATGGAATAATACTTATAATACAATCTTTAATGACTGTCATCTTTTACCCCTTAATGAATTTTGAAAAAAAACGGAGACAAAACACACGTGTGCTCGAATATCACTCTTATTGTTCTAAATGGATTGTTTCCGAGAATGGCGTCTGATTGCATGCAAAGTTAATGAAGCTCTTTAATCCACTTTAAGATATTTCTGTGTGCCATTGATTGGCGGCAGGCCATCGAGCGCCATCAACGATGACCATTCGCTACCACTAAACTGCAGTTTTGAAGTGGAGAATAGGCGATTGAACTCAGTACTGAGACTTCATTAGTCGACAAAGGTATCATTAAACCGCTCTGTTTATATCAATGTTAAAGATCTAAGTGGATTTTGGAAAGTCAAGTTTTAACTTCAAATCATTTAGAAACGCACTGATCAGCCTTTGCCAACACAACATTTCTTGTATACACCGAAGAATGTATTTTGAATATGCATGTTGTCCTTTTTCCATTTACTCGATGCCCCGTGTGCCATACGTTTTAAAACAACATCCTATAAATTTCAACCCAACCAATCGTTATGAAACAGGTATTAAAAAGTTTTATAAATATTCAATAGATCTCAACCCTATTACAAACATGCATTAACTTGGAGTACATAATTAGGCTTTCTCTAAGAGGCTCTCATCTCTTTGTTCAATGACATATGCTGATAGGCGTGAAGAGATATTCGAAAACCTATTCCGTTTAAACTTTGTTTCCTTCATTTTGCTTGTGCGACTGAGAAGGTGTGCAGCCATGTGAACAGTCTAAAAAGTGATGAAAACCTTCGTTCCCTTGGTAGCGGGGAGTTTGTGAATTTTTAATTGGGTGGATTGTGGGAGATTACACAGCAATTTATCAAATGTGCGTCTAATATCCCAGGGGATTATTCATCAAAACAGAGTGGTTTGGAAAGAGACGCCACCGACTCAAACGGCGGTTGTCGTGGTTACATGTACAAACACGGTGTAGGTATAATCTTCTACAAAAAGTGCACGGGAAATGTGCAGGTGCAAACAAATGGAAATATGTCATAGGAAAACAAAGGTTTTTCAACAGCTTGTCAAAGTTATCTGCGCATTCAAGATGGGTCTTTAAAAAGCATCTCTATCACACGTGTCAAAACCTGGTCGCATTTAATTACGATTTCACAATACAATTTTAACATGTTCTATTTTTCGAGAGGCTCTGTAAAACCATAACATCATTATCGGTCTTCGCGTAACATTGGCCATTTAAGTAGGCCTATTAAAATACTTCCCTGGCCAATGTTAGCTTATTTGTGCCAAAAAGAGGATAAGAAGTGTAGAGTTGGGGTACATACAGGGTCCCATTTAAATACAATTGAAACTGTATACCTTTATTTTAATTTCCATAAGCTACACCGTTTTAACGCGAAGCCATTTTCATCTATTTATTTTATCGAATTTTACTTTCTATAATTACTTATATATGCAATAACGTAGGTCCCGGTCCTGCATGTGGGACAATATGGAACGTTTTTCAACGTTGCACAGACCCTTATATTACCCGATTCTTATCCGATTCTTTTGGAAAAACATTTTGATCCATTTAATGACACTGAAAAGATTATATGCAAAATGAACATTTACTGGTACAATATAAGACAACAAAATGGTACGCGCAATGATGTGGAGCAGAATTAAATTTAAATACAGACGAGAGGGATTGAAAAAGTTTTTAATTTTTTGTTATTGTTGTTGTTGTTGTTTAAATGATCAATAATTTACTTTAAAGAACTTTTATGAATTTTGATTGTACTTTCACATAACAGGTTTTAGTCTCTCATAACCCTTAGTAGGGTGGGTTTAATTTAACGTGAGACGTTAATAAAATCAAAATTATCTTACACCCTCTCTTTGATTGTCGAAAATAACTAAGTTCATTTTATATTTGATGGCTTATGTGAAGTGGTGTGAAGTGTGAATAGGCTTGAAACTACACTAAGCAATCCAGTCACCTCATCAAGTATACCCCCCAGATGTCAGCACGAGTGCAGGCTGTGCATTTGATTCGAGGTTAATTTACTAGTCAACCACGGTAAGACAACGTTTACACTACTGTTACCGTTGTAGCAATATTCATCACCTCAGCGGGTCCCTATCAAAAAAACTTCAGTCAGAATACTTTTGAAAATCTTCTGATGTTTTATCTGTGTCATCAAGAGTGAAATTCAACAGTCTCTATTTCGCTTTGAGATATGGTTTACCTTGGCTGTGAATTGAGCGTTGAAAGAGCTGAAATTTTCTGAAAACTAATGTTGCCACATTAAGGTCTATCCTTCAGTGTGTGACAAAGTTCTTTTGTTTCAGAAGACCCTAGGAAAAAAGGCTGAACCTGGTTATACAGTGTGTTTACACTACACTGGTATAATACATTCTAAGCATTTTATTCAGCACACATTATATGATATATACATTGGTAAGGTAACATATCATCGTGCTAGTCAAATATACACTCCATACAATGACCTAATTTATACAATAAACATAACTCACGAAGATTTGCGACTGAATTATACACGAATTATTTCTGAATAGCCGCTAATTTACATGCAATGTCTCACTAAGATGCTATTGTTTACACCGATGCGACGACGCATTAAAAACAGTGACCATACGGAACAGACACGATTCGTCACAAAGTTACATAATCACATTTTCGAATGTTGTATGACATAGCCTACAGGTGTACAGTCAAAGTGATTTGTTTTACACGTAATAGATAGTACAATGTAGCTTAATTGTTTATTTCCAAAAATTATTTTTCACGTTCTTAAAGAGTTAGGCCTATATCTCAAAGGAACAACTTGTCGAAAAAGAAGTTTATCAACTGAAAGAAATACAGCTCAGGTCTGAAAAGTATACCAGTCGTACACTTAACTATTTAATTAACAGTTGCATTTGTCAAAAGATTTTTAATGAAAGGAGTGCGCTTTATCGCTCAAAAATCAACCGCAGTAAAGTTCCAGGATTTTCTGCACAATGCGTATATCACTAAGAAATGTCTATAAAATTTCATTATACACCACACCACACCGTGTGATAATCTAGGGACAAAGACCACAGTACTTGGCGCAGTTATTTTTTGCCCAGGTTTTGTACGCGCACGCGTAGTCGGGACTTCCGTACTCGTTACAATTGGATAAAGTATCCTTGCACGCCGGTGCTAAAATGAATCAAAAAAATCTACTAAGCATTTTACGTTTACAACGCCAGAGACTCTGTTATATCGGATATTGCCTCTTCTCTGAAACCACACATTTAATTTTATATTAAAATATATAATTCTACACAATATTATTTTATCATTATCTTTTTCTCCTACTCAGTAGGCCTATAATAGCTTCCAATTGCTTCAAAATAAAGTGTAATAATATTTTAAGAATATATCATTTTTACAAATTTAATAATATGTGTCATTTCTCGCACTTGATTTAGATGATAAAAGAATAGATCCTGAAAAAAAAACTTACCGGGACAAAGTCCGCAGAAAGCTTTGCAGTTGGTTTGAGACCACCCTGCATATTCAGTGCACACAGAAGCACCGTAGTCCGCACAGTTGGAAATACTGTCTACGCAGAGTGGGGGGCTAGTTGTCGTAGTCGTGGTGGTTGTAGTTGTAGCTGAAATATAATTATTACCAATGTTAACTATGTTATTTTTGTTCGACTAGTCGTACATTGCACTGCATCGTTTGTCATGAAGCAGTTTTATGTCTAGACAAATCATGGATGTTCAAATTTACTGTAAACTTTTCGGGATGTAGATTTAACAACAAGCGTTTAAAAAGCTCACCAGGTTGACAGCGTTGGCAGAAAGCCGGGCAGTTTTTCCCTGCCCAGCCGGCGTACTCCGTGCAGACACTGGCGCCGTAAGCTGCACAGTTCGGAATAGCATCGGTGCAGGCTGAAGGAGTTGTCGGGATTGAAGAGGCTGAAATAGGAAAAAACGGTAAGTGTAAACCATTAAGAGCGTGGTAAATCTTGCACGCAACATGATAACACGAAGTACTATCTGAAAATTTTAAAATAATACAAATGGTACTGATCAGTGACGAAACTGATCTGTTTAAAAGTTCAAACAAGCCTTACAAAAATGGTGAGTGACACAGCATCATGGACACACTAAATCTGCAACGATGATAAGTTTAATCAATGGGCATCAAGATAGTCCAAAAAGAGACGACACAGAAATAATGCAAGAAACTGGTTGGAATACAAAAGCGAAATGCGAAACGCAAAATTTTGGATAAAAGTACTCACATTCACAGATGAAAGGCTGCGCAAGAGCGCAATTGGCGTCGGTCAAGGACACTGGGTTGGTTACAATGTGAACGCAATCTCCACGTCCAGCAGCTGAAAACAAGAAATATTTTAGTACAGCACAAAAACGGAAAGATAAAAATTGATTAACATCCGTGAAATAGTCATGTTGAAATACAGAAATTTCCCAGTTCAGCAGATACTGTATATTCTAGATTTATGGTATAAATAGGTGTCATTGTAAAAACGAGAGAAATAAGTTACATGCTTAATTTCCTTTGTGAAAGCCAATGTTAATACAACTCATTTTCATTTACAGATAATGGTTGGATATCCCAATAAATTTACCAGAAACAGTGACCTGCTTCCCACTGCCGGTACGGAAGTGTCCCTCCTGTCCCATATCCGTGATGCCTACCCACCAGTTTAGGTGGGAATTTGATGTGTAAATATGATTGATCGTCTGCCCCATCCAGAACTGCTTGATTTTGTCGTCTGGTTCGGCTAACTTGGCGCCGTATTGGGACTGGCAGTAGGCATTACTGTCGGACCATGTCTTTGGCTGCGCTATGAACTTGTAATATTGTCCCAGGAAGTTTTGCCATGCTGGAAAAATCATAGTTTCTGTTCAATGAGTATATCAGTTTTTTTTTTTCATTTTACTCGGAAGAAAGGCGGGGCTTGATTGGGAATATTGCAAAACGGGCAAGGAAAACTCCGGCTAATAAGTTTTTTCATAATTTTTCATTTTTCATAATTAATATAATTAATTAATTAATATAATTAATCATTTTAGTCATCACGCATCTCTAGCCCAAATGTCCCATTTATTGAAAGAACTGTAATCTATATAATCATTCAATAAATCAAATTTTAATAACTGTTCAAAATCGTTTAATAATAATCGCCTGTGCGGGTATTTCTATGAGGCCTTTTCTCGTAATTTGCTAGTCTTTGTGCACGTCGGAGGCAAGAGGTCACCCGCGGGTCCAGGGGGTGCATTTTTGAGGACATTTTTTTTAAAGGGACCCGGACGTGTGTGAGCAAATCTCGGACAAAGGTTGGAATGTTACCATTTCATTTCAAAGAAAAAAGAATGTAGAGAATTTGCTTAAATTCTCTTTTTTAAAAATTGTTTTTTCTTGGTCCCAGTGCCAACGCGGCACTTAGAATGGTTGACTATCTTGGTATCTAGGATTCTGGAGAATTTTATTACACGGCAACGCGCGATAAAAACTTTGAATAGAGCAATTTAAATTAAATTGAGTTTGATAAATGTTTATACGCTACGGTAAACTTTGCATGCGGCCTTGCTGAGCTTGTCAAAGATCAACTTGTAATGACTTCTTACGTATGCCCTAAGCCACAACCGAATGTTTGCATTGTGCTAATTAACGCTGTACGCTCCAATATGCTAAATTACTGAAACAAATCTGAGGACAAACAGGAAGCCTAATGTGAAAATATGTTCTTTTAAAGAGCCTGTCAGCGTGCGTTATCTTATTTTTTCTTTATTTTAATTAAAAAGGTAATGCGTCTCTATAAATCTCTCTTTCACCCTTGATTACAATGCCATGTAGATAGGGAAATGTGTGATATTAAATACAAATGGAAGCTGACTCCTACAAAACCGCTTTTCCATCTTTGAGTACAGATAATTTAACATGATATAAAAACCGATTTAATAATAGAATTATGCATTTCGTTTTTTGTATATTTTAAAAACATAAAAAGAGATACAAAAAGGCGGAGCGCATGATCTGCTCCGAGAGAGATCTACGCTCTGAAGAGCAGCATTTCGCAATCAAACGCATTTTGAGACCAACGAAAAAAGTGAATACACACTTTTTCTGTATAATACTTTAAACCCACACTACCTTTTTTTTTTTTTTTTTTTTTTTTTTTTTTTTTTGCTTAGACTCATGAGAGCCATGAGAGTCAAGTGAAGATTGTTTCTAAAAAGTTAAGTGTTGTGTTAACGTAAAAATAAGCATCGATGCTAAACAATATGCGCTAAATGCTAAATACGGCGATTTTCAACTTAACTACTGCATTTGACGGAGACAGTAGCGCTGGCCTAGATTGAAAAGCTCCCGAATGAAGGCATTTGCAGTCTTGGACAATATCGATATTCAGTTCCTACTAAAATATGTAGCAAAACGTGTATTTACGTACTTCTTAAGTTGCAAAATGCGTATGATTTCAAAATGCCACTCTACCGCCCTAGTGTAGTTTTCTTTGTCGTATTCACTATATTTTCTGACCAAAAATAAATGCATTAATAAAACGCATATTTTTAAACTAAAACAACCAATTTATGCAATTCGAACAGCACAGTTTGCATTAAATCGTACAAACAATAAACTTAACATTTTCTTCTCTGTACAATAATTGCTTTTTTCGATGCACGGACTATTTTACATGTATAAGGGTATGCGCACTCACATGTTTTGATAATCATACCTTTGCGGTTGTGGAAAATTTACTGTACACGTTTGAACTCTGACCGTAATAACCTTTGGTTTTTTAGTAATAAGAAGGTAGTAATTTGATTGAATTAAAGAAGCAAAAGAAGCACATTTACCTGCATTGCCTTGATGCAGTTCCAGTAATACAACCAGGCAAACCACAAGTACAGATTTCGAATCCATTTTAAATCTTAAAAATAACGTGTGAATACTCCGGCAGTTCTCCTGTCGAATTGACTTTTTCTAAATTCTCTTCCTACCAGTTTAACTTTTATACGGGCGGTGCCGATAGGTAGACCTACCCATTATGTGTAGACGCTGGCTCATTTGATATGCATAAAACACCTGTTGACTCAGATTTTAACTAGCGAGTGTGACACAGTGAATGCATATGAAAATGGTCAAAAATAATTACATTTGGAAACACATATATAGGCCTATAAGTTTAAGATACTACATTTTTTTATTTTTTATAAACACTAAACTAGCACCCATCTCGGGCAGACGATTGAACTCTTCCACCGTCGCGCCTTATCAAAATCCAAGGGACGCACTTTGCAGTTATTAATTGGCGTTGATTTGGAATAAAATCACTCAGATTTTGATAAGCAATGAAACTGGTATTGACCCTCAACATGGCGATGCATGATAGCAACGTTGTGAGTTGATTGCAGTGTCGACCACTTTCAAGTAACATAAAGAAGACTTGACGCAAGTTGTTTGGTATCCTATCTGTAATGCCCAAGTCCTCGAAATTGGTGTAATTTTATTACCTTCATTTCCAAGCAGATTAATTGAATGAGGTGATTTTCAATAGAACGCTGACGCATTTTGCTGGTATATCTATTGAAAAGGAGTATGTATCATGAATGTTATCATTCTTAATTTTTGAAATGTTCAAGATACGTGAATATTGTTGTCTCATAGAAAAGCCATTATAAACTTGAATCCTGTTGTGAGGTAAACGCTAGCATTTGTATGGAAGTCTTGCGGCACTGTTTTATCTTTTAACCAGAGCATTTATATCCAGACTGTATATATTTTTCATAAAATGTTCCAAACCTACACAGTGAAGTGAGCAAATGATGGTAAATCGGCACATGTAAACGGCATTAAACTCTTTGTTAAGTTTTCCGTAATGCATCGACATTTTTGAAAATTAAGACACGAAGTGGGTACACGCTTTTGTATATGTAATGTATTTTCTGATAGCTGGGCATAAGTGTGACGTATTGTATTCACCTGGTCAGAAAGATAGTTGAATTATAAAGTTTATATACATGTATTTACGATGTAATATTATGTCTGCTATATTGAATGTGGTAGATTTGAAAACGTATTCAAAATTAAGTCTCAGAAATAGACCCAAATGTGTACCTGAAATTCATATTTAATATTTTAAAAATGCCTTAAAGTGTAATCTAGTAAATAAAATTACTTTCCTGTCTGTTATGATAACCGTTCACATACATAACAGAGTAGGCTTTCTAGATTTTAGAGAATGGTGTAATCATAAACTATATATATATATATATATATATATATATATATATATATATATATCATGAAAGGTATCGGGGGAGAATCTTGTGGTATAAAATAGTTTAGGAATAGTAGAGTTTCACTCATAGAGGGTAAACAGTTTAAAATACACAGATATTTTACAGTCCCGCCAAGAAATTTGCTACGTTAACTGTATTGTATTCGCCTTGAAAAAGGGGGGTATAGAGGAATGACTTTCGGACGGTTCTGTAACAGTTGGATGTGTTAATCAATACTAATAGGCTAGGAAAGGGCTATTCATGCGCTGTAGTTTTATATATATATTTTTCTTTTTTAAGACATGATTGCTACATGATTGAGATACATCATACATTAATTGCCATAACAACGACAAATTTCGCTTATTCAGCGATTTTATTCTCATCAACATGGCCATGAGCTGAGTACAAATCGACTGCCATAAAATGGCGGAAAATGGACGACGACGTGGCCTGGAGCAGACGACACTACCAGTGGATTGACGAGGCGCATGCGCAGCTGCAGGTCATAACATCTAAAAGGTAGGAAAGGCCACTTCGTCCTCCATAATAAAAGAAATAAAAGTATCTCCATCTCTCTCTTTTCGCTTTCCCATCCTATCTTACATTGTTTTTACATTTTGAAGAAAAAAATTAGGACCGCTTTACACCTCTATATTTCACAACCTTTCCGCAATGTTCGAAATAGGCTGGAAAGGGAGGCGGTGTGCTGCAGTCCTTTAAAGTTAAAATTCAAACTACAGAGTCGGCGAGGCCTGTGGGAATGGCTGAAACTGACACACCCGTAACAATTCCGTGCATCCAGCTCTCGAGACACGTGTGCCTGCACTCTCTCACCACCGCTAGATGTCGCTATGCACCCAAGTAGCTTGTTTGTCCAGCGACAGAAGCGCCAGCTCACAACAGCACACAGGGGTGTCAATAGAGTTGGGAACCACACAAGGGTAAACGGGATGTACCAATTCCACCCACCCATAAGATATCATCCATTGCAGCTTTTAAACGTCGGTCCTGCTTCGTCCTGGAATTAGGAGAGTCGACCCGATTGGTGATGACATCTATCGTCGTGAGCACTCCTGGATTTCACAAGGTATGTCACGTTTGCTATTTCTAGCCCTACAAGCAGTGGTGCGCTTCCTCGTCTTTTTAACTGTATTGCTCCTCAACACATACACTGTTCGAACAGAATTTTATTCCTTGGTGATAGTTTTCATGTGCAACCTCCACATCTTGTTAGTCTTTAGTGGTGCACTATTCAATATATCTATTGCACGTCATCCTGTCTTCACAACAAAATAAAATCACGTACTATGTTCTCCCTCTTGAATCATCACTGTCATTTAATATATAAAAGCTAGTTCAAGTAGTCCTAAATATATCAGCATTGTAAAATACATACAAAAGTTTATAACAACATAACAAATATAAACATGGGCAGTGTCGCACATGCCGGACATGGCATCGAGAAAGGGAATCGCTTGACCACCGGTTGGTTAAATGGCATTCAGTGGCGTTGGTTGGTGTTGCTGTTGGTACGATGGAAAGTCAAGATGGCGCAGCCTAGTGGACCCACCCAATCAGCGATGATCACGTGACCCCCTCCAAGATGAAGATGACGTAAAAATACTTGGTTTCCTCAGTGTACTTTGTTCCACAGTTTTAGTTCAGTTACAACAAATATACGAAAGAATAGCCAAGTTTTTGTTTCGTTTTATGTCTAAAGTGATCTCCATTCAGTTAAAATGTAACAGTTTGTGAAAGTAGCTGGGTGATTTAAAACACAGGGCACTTGAGACGTATAGAAGCTGGAAAAAAAGAAGAAAAATGTTAGGAATGGAACTCATAAATAGATAAGTTCCAATATAAATAGCTCAGCGACTCGAAAGCCATTACAAGCTGCAGATTTCTTTTCAGTATGACGGGTGCATAAACGGCGATAAAAATGCTGAGTTTGGAACAAATTACTTAATTACATAATTTTCATGAGATCAAATGTGTTTCCGAGACAATAATAGCGCATCTACTGTGCGAAATAACAGCAAGTATGTATTCTGCCTGGCATACCTATTTATGCTTTTACAACTCTGTACGTTTCCCTGGTAACAGACATGGAGCGCCTGGAGCGAAGGGCGGCGTGCACAGCTGCGTCAGCTCTGGATTCTGATTCTTCCAACATACCCTGTAGTTTGCGGTATTTGTTCAGGGTAATGGTCGTCACTTCCTCCTGATAAAAAAAAAGAAGCAGAAAATTTGTGAAATTCTCAGAGAACACTTAAAAATTATTTAGGAAGAATTTTGAAGGATATTTTATCACTTGAGAAATAACGCCTTAAATTACTGTGTAATTATTTTAAACTTCATTCGTGCCACTATATTCGAACTCCTGTCATTTAACCCAGCTCCTGTCAACGGATAAGATTCGCGTGACAATTCTAGATATAAATTCAGATTTTATGAAGTTGCCATAGCTAAAGACAACAACGTCCTCACTACTGTACGACGACATAGAGATTCCACAGTCAATACTTACGGCTTCCTCAAGCTGGCGTTTGTATGCCTTGATCTTAAGATTCAGTTTGTCGATCAAGTCCTGGAGGTCAACGACCGATCTGCGGTCATCCTCAGCCTGAACGATGATCTCTTTGTAGCTACGCTCCACTCTGCGCAGGGCTCCCAATGTGTCTCTCTGGCGGCGCTGCTCGGCCTCCAGCTCGGCTTCCAAGTCACGGACCTAGACGAAAGTAGAGGATTTTTTAATAAGAAACTAGAATAAAGTTTAAAAATGCCTTTCTACTCACTAACCGAGCATCAATTTTTTCAGTCGTGAGCCTCGGTTAACTTTAGTGAGTTGCCATACGTTAAATAACCAACCATCATTTCGATTTATAGTGATATCTATTCTATCGATAATAAAATATGATTTGAATAATGATTAAAAGAATGACAAGCATTGATTAATAAGCCCCACCACTGGCTGTATTTTACTTACTCTAGCCTGCAACTTGGCGACCATTCTCTTTCCTTCCCTCTGGGCCCATGCCTCAGCCTCCTCCAACTTGATGGTGATCTCTCTAATCTCAACCTCCAGCTGTTTGCGCAGGCTCTCGGCGTGTTTGTAGTTCTCCTGTTCCTGGCGGAGTTCGTCAGCAAGTCGGCTTACTTCAGCCTGCAGTCTGGAATATGAAGACGTTGGTTTTGCAAATGTGTTAGATGTGCTTAGCAGTTGCGACGAGATGTGAAAATGAAGAAAGAATTATGAGTGCGGTCGAGTTACCTGGGTTATTCAAAGGCACCGAGTAGCATATGTGCTGTGCAAACATATTCTTAAAATTAAAAATAATAATAATAATAATAATAATAATAATAATGTAATGTTTTCCTACCTGTTAGCTCTGTCCTCAGCTTCCCTGCTGGCATTCAGTGCATCATCAAGATCGGACTGGATAGCACCAATGTCACCCTCCAGGCGTCTCTTGTCGTTGGTGAGAGTGTTGATCTGGATGGTGATCTCGCTGATGCGGGTGTTGGCGTCGTGCAGTTCGTTCTCAGAGGCCTTGCGGGCTCTCTCGGACTGTGCGGGAAAATATCATGATTGCGTTAATAGAATGGAGGAAACGCGCATTGCGTCGTCTTGCCAGATAAACTTAGAACTAATTTGTCTACTTAAATGAATGTTAATGTTAACAGTACTACGCCTTATATATAAATACCGACAAATGGTGCGTGCCACTTTCAACGCGCCTTCTCAATACGTTTCCGTCAACTTTCCCTGATGGCCGTTGCAATAAGTATAACTTTCCTGATCAAAATTTGAAATTCTGAAAACTCACGGTTTCGTACAGACTCCTGACGTCCTCAAGCTCCTGTGCAAGCTGGATTCTTCTTCTCTCAGAGTTGCCAAGGGCGTTGGTGGCATCGTCGGCACGGCGGCGCTCATCCTCAAGCAGGACTTCGAGTTCCTTAAATAAAATGGCATCCACGGTCATAAAACGATTATTTCAAGGTCCTATCAACCGGTTACATCCATTTCCAATAATAAATTAAAAACCACATCTTAAAAATAGGTTATTGCTTTTTAATAATCATTATCATTACTATAATAATAATAATAATAATAGCCACTATTATTAGCCTGTTAAAAGCATAAGACTCGTTCGTCAAAGCGCTATGGTGGAATCTAATGAGGTAATTTTCACAGTGCCTTTCAACAAAACAAATATACAAACCTTTACTCTGACTTCCAGTACTCTGCACTTAGCTTCAAAGTCCTTTGCCTTCTTGGTTGCAGCGTCCAAGGCGATCTCAAGATCTCTGATTTCAGCCTCCAGTTTCTTCTTCAGGCGGCCAAGCTCGCTTCTGTAGCGGGCCTCGATCTCCGTGATGGTGTGCTGAAGTTCCTCGATGGTGCGGCGTGTGCTGTTGCTGTAAGAATGAAAAGAAGAATAGGTTTTACCTACCTGTGATCAACGAGAGTAGGACTAAAGAGGTTATATGCACATGCCTCGAATAAATATTAACATTTCATGAGCACACTGTTATACGCAAATTCATGACGGCCCCTCTTCAACACTTACCGCAGGGCCTCCAATTCCTCTTCCTTCTCACGAAGTCTTCTTTCCATCTCGGCCTTGAGGGCAGCAAGGGCGTCTTGTGCGGCCTTGGCTCTGGCCTCAGCGTCCCTGAGAGCATCCTCGAGGTCCTTGACAGCGTTCTTCAGCATGTCGTTCTCATTCCTGAGGTCGCCGTTGGCGGCAGTGAGTTCTTGGATCTGGCGGTTGGCATCGCGGAGCTCGTTCTTCAGTTCACGAACCTGGCCTGGAGAGAAACACAAGGTTTCAGTGACCTTAACATTATCCACGGGGGTAAACTGTAACTTGTCAATGAGAAATTGCATTATAAAATTCTTCAATTTAAATCTTTCAATTTTTATTTTTGAGTAGGATAAGGTTTGATCTTCTCGTGGGTCTCACGATTATGTACATGTAGTAACGTGATGACCGATGCAAGTTGTCTCCTACGATGTAGCGTTTTCCTAGTGTAATAGATTTCGTTGTAACTTCAACCGTTTCTCTATAAAGTTATCCTAAGTACAAAGGATCGGTAATATTACATCATCTTGTGTATATCAACCGAGTTAAAAGTATAATGGACTTCAAAAATAAATCCTACACAAAAAAGTTTGTTGTTGAATTTTACCACTTGAGTTGTGAACTTTGATATATATTAATTTCAATTTAGTTCTGAATAAACAAGAACTTGCACTCCTTTATCGACAGTTTTTGAAACCTCATTTGGAGAACTACCATGTTATTAATATGCACGTTTATTATCAAAAGTGCGTTTTAAGCATATTTAGGAAGGAAAGGAACGTTTGCTGGTTTCAGCACCTCGTCTATTGAACAGTTTTCTGGGCTATGAACAAGATGATCAAAACATCAAAATATTTGATTTGTTAACTCGCAGATGTGCTTTTTTTACAGTTCAGAATTATATCAAATAGCAATGTAAATTATAGCACTTAGCCGCTGTTTGTTGCCATACGTATTTCTCAGAATAACCAATATGATAAGAAGCAAGATGTGATGATAGCGTAAGTGGCATATGTGCTACAGAAACCATGCTGTTAGCTGTTTATTAAATTAGGCACAAGTAAACTTACATATTGATATCACGCTTTGGATAAATAAGTAGGTTACTTCATTGCATACAGACGATTGTATTCCCGTGGATAAGTATAGGTTGCTGAGCGTTTATCACCTGGTAATTACAAAACACAGGTGTTGCTCGAAGGCTACCACTCAGATAGATATTCTGGATCTGGCTCATGCCTTACAAACCAAAAACGGCAAGGCTTTTCCAGGTAGAAAAAGAGCTCAAATTACACGATCAAAAGCTCGCAAGATTTCAGTCCTTTTCACCTCAGTTGTGCTTGACGTTTCATCTCGACAGGTGCTCTTCCTGCGTATTTCCTGTTTCCAATACGTTAATAAGTCCAGGGATGCACCATAAAAAAGCAATAAACTAAGATACTATCATGTATAGGTCAAACTACAGTCAACAGCCAGTGAGTTGGTTAACATGGCAAGTACTAATGTAAAAGGAAACATAAGTATCATCAAGATCGCTGTCGATGGCTTGCAAGTCATTTTGCCAATGTAATTTAAGTTTTGTAAGCATTTGGTGTGGCTAAAGGTAGTTTATCCTGCCAAGGCAGTACTAAACCAAGTTGTTTCAGACAAGCAAAGGTCAAACCCAGACATTATAGCAGAGGACGCGCATGGTTGTGTTGTTGATTTGAATAGAAATTGAGTTTGGTTAACTTATAGAGTGAGGTCGGATTAAGAACAGGTATGGTTTAGACTACAGTAATTGTGGAAAGGAGGCACGTGATAACAGTAACATTTCACTTCAGTTATTTTTACTGTCTTTGTACGGCGAAATACTGTAATATTCCCTGCATTTCACAGCCAAGTCAGCCAAGTCTGTTAGCGCGCGTCATGTATCCACTTTTGGTCGACCTCAAACGAATAGAAGGCGATGACCCTTAACACTGTTTTACACTTTCATTTCTTAATTATCTAAATACGAATTCTGATATGTTATAATAACTGCAGCTAGCTGTAGTGCTGTCCATAATTATGATATTACATAGAATGAGAGAGACAAGTTTAAGAAGATTTCTACTGTAGGTATTATTCCAGGCAGTGCCATGGTACTCATGTACGTGGTCAACAGTTCAAATTAAGGACAAGTGTCTGTTGCGAAAGACGTTTAAATCTGGTTTTATACACACGCTACAGTTTTGAATTGGGAAATATGATCAGATTTCGCTATTTGGTTGGAAGGGCGCTTTGATTTATATGGACACACCTCAGGGAGGCTACTACGGCAATTCCGATCTTCGCAGTAGAGTTTTTGGAATTACAAAATTGTTATGTCGTACGTATATAAATATGTGTGCATAAAAACACGTTTGTTTTTTCTCATTTGAAATCATTACCAAAGAATACTAAACCCTCTCACCATGTGAGATATACCATGCTGCATACAACCTTCGTCACTTACCGTTTAATCCTTGGTTCTCTCTGTCTAGGGCTTGGTTCTTTTCGGTAAGTTCAGTAACGCTGACCTTCAGTCTGCCGTTGTCGGCTGCAAGGGCCTTGTTCTCGTTGGCCAGGTTGCCCAAGTCGTTCTTAAGTTCAGCGACCATGGCCTCAAGGGCAGCCTTGTCCTTCTCTGCCTGCTTCAATCTGCTGCTCAGGTCCGCGTTGAGGGCGTTGGCCTGTGGGGTAGAAATGGAAACTGAAACTGAAGGGCATCGGAACAGCACTGTGCTCGTGGAGGCACTCAAAAAGGCTTTTAGGGGTATGCCTGTTAACAAGGGGGATGCGTTTGTCCAATTATGAAAATAATATCTTGAATTAAGAATCCTGCAAAACTACCTTCTTATTTGAAATAGTCGTTGAGTCATTTTTGTTCAAAACATTTTTTTCTTTCTGTCACAGATATAACTTGATTATCATATTACTTCATGTTGGTTAACACTGGCTTTTGAAATTACTGTTTTCTAACGTATCTTACCTCGTCCATCCATCTCATTACCGGTTTGCAATATTCTGAATAACTATCATATTCCCCAAGTATCCGCGAGTTTCTTTGTCGATACATACTGAACACGACGGTCAGAACACCGTCCCAAATACGATATTCTATAACGCTTAAGTACACTTCTTATACCGAAGCGTCTTCCATTCACAAAAGCAAACTTTCGGTTTGATATCAAAATGGATAATGAGACGCCGTGCACACTGCAGCGGACTAAAATAATCCCAGAGTGACATTAAAACAGAGGGGGGTCCGAGCCATGTTTCCAATTTAAACCCAGTGAGTAAGTTTTGGAGCTGACTGTCCCTAGTGTGTGTACGATACAATTATATAAACTGATGTATACTCTGAACTTCGCGTGTTCTTCTCTGGGGTACCTGGAGATATCAAACTAATAACCGTCTAAAAGTGTCAAAGCCAATTTTGCTCTTTATGGATTTAAAATTAATCGACCTTTAATAAACGTCTGCTTTATATGCTGACGGATATGAAAAGATCATGGCGTGGGAGATGTGGTGATCTTTTTGGAAAGTGCTTACAAACCCTAGACCTATCTAGAACTGTGTCTTCCTGGTAAACGATCGGTTATTCACAGCACGACGGGTTTTAACCCCAGGGAATTTTGAGCACATTTGGTAAACCGTTAAGGTTATTCACCCTTGTCTTGAACAGAATTATCAGCAAATCACTTATGGCATACTAGCAGCCGTATCACTTATTTTCAACTATATTACAAAATATTGGGACTCAAGACGAAAAGTAAACGAAGTCACAGTCGTCTATTCAATTGGAGATCACGAACGAACGAACGAAGCAGACCTTGATTTTAACGAGTACAGATATTTATCTACTTACATTGTCCAGTTCAATTGTGATGTCTCTAAGTTCGATCTGCAGTCTGTTCTTTGCCTTCTCCAAGCCGGCAGCTCTGGAACGGGCCTGCTCTGCAATGTCCTCCAGCTCGGTGATACGGATGGTGAGTCTGCGACTGGAAACCGAATTAGTACATGATAGAGTTAAGTGATCAAAGACGAAGATGCTTTTCGTTTCTGTCCATTAAAATACCACATACAAAACACAGGCGTATAGTTAAATGTATGGTTCATAAATTTACTAGTGGATTAATTATTGATCTAAGATTTCCATTCGCCTGGAATGATCAAATGCATTGATGCAAAGGACACAAAGATCACTAATAGGAAAAGGATTATTTTCGGACTGTAAAATGTCGCGTTCTCATTCAACGAGCATCTGTATTTGTTTGGGTGAACCAATAAAACATAATAAATTTACCCAATGAGAAATCAAACACACAGCAGTGGAAATAGTATCTTTGTTTTATTAAGTTGCGACCATCACTCTCCATGGTTCCACTCGGACTGATGTTGACATCTTTTCTGTTATCACAACTCACTTACCGAAGCTCATCCAATTCCTCAGTCTTGGCCAACAATTCCCGGTCATACTTGGCCTTGAGTGCGGCCAACTCAGCCTGAAGCTTTCCAAGTTGAGCACGCAGTGCGGAGTTGGTCTCAGATTCCTCGTCGTAACGCATGTTCAGGTTGTCATACTCAGCCTGGAGGGCGGATAGGGAAGCCTGGAGGTTCTGGCGGGACCTGACCTCATCGTCCAAGTTCCTCTTGGCGTCGTCCAGAGCACCTGCCAGCTGCTTCTTGGCCTGTGCGAGCTGTCCGCTGGTGCTGTCCAGTTCCTGGATGGTGTGCTGGAGCTCGAAGTTCTCAGAGGTCAGCTTGGCTCTGGCGGCGTTGGCGTCGTTCAGTTGTTTGTTAAGGTCATCGACCTGTGCGCGCAGCCTGGCCACGGCACCCTCCAGACCCTCGAGCTTGGCTTCGGCGGATTGCTGGAATGGAACGGGTCTATTAAACTCTGGTAAGTTCTCACTTTTATTTATGTCTGTTCTGGATTCATGCAAGTAATTACCGTGTAATTATCTTTTTTTTATTTTCTTTTTATTATAGGGCTATTTTTTATTCCTTTGTTCATATGAGCAAATTTTGATACAATGGCTATGTTCTTACAATTTTAAAATATATACTTATTTATGAGAAATAACCATGTGATAAGAAACTAAACTGCATATACAATATACAATATGACTTACCCTGGCTTTGGTAGTAGCATCCAGAGATGTCGAAAGTCCATCAATTTCAATGATGAGTACCTGCTTTTCTTTCTCAGCCCTAAAATTGCAAAGGTGCCAATGCATTAAGTACATTTTTCACCAAGAAGCAGGAGCAGAAAGAAAGACAAACAAAGAGAAAAAAGTTGCATTAGGTTTGGAGAGGTCTACAAGGCTAATATGCCTGACATATTTCTTGTGTAATTCTAAAGACTCTATACATGTACAGTATATGTACGTACTTGCTCTTGTGTTTGCTGAGATAGTCGACCTGCTCTGAGAGGTCGTTGATCTGGTCCTGGAACCTCTTCCTCAGGGCGTGCTCTGTTGCTTCAAACTGGGCGTTGGCTGTGTCGAGTTCCTTGCGTAGTCTGCTAATCTCTTGGTCGCGCTTCCTCTGGATTTCGATCTGAAATAATTCATGTGAGAAAATGCTGGTAACATATGTGTACTGAGATACGTCTTGTGCAGACCGTGGTCCCAACAAGGTTTTAAATTGTTTGAATGTTTCCGTGTGCTGACAAAAAATCAACAGGAATGATGTCTAATTGTATGTACCTTTTGGGTGATTTTAAATGTGCATATATCACGTAAGAAAAACTCCCCTTTTTAATATGACTCTAAGGATCATATTCTAGGTCCCGTGTAACGCACTGAGCATATATCCGAATCTGTTTGCTGCGATACGCATTGCGGTATATGTGATGTTGATACTTTCTCAACAACCGCAATGCTTTTCTGCCACATTGTTTTCTAGAATGCTTACGTGTGTGATAGACAATCCACCGGCTTCCTCTAGTTGAGTCTGCATTTGCTCACACTGGTAGGACAGTTCGGTTACCATCTTCTCAGCCTGGAAAAGACATAACTCAAAAAATAAGAGAAATATTTTGCAGAAACGTGGGCCTAATTTTTTGGCAATTATTTTGAACAGGTGCGTGAATCCAATTCTAATTAAGTTCAGTTCAATACATTTAATTTTGGCTAATCTCAAAATATTTCAATCGTTAGCTTTTATCCATTCTCTTTATTCATTATATGATTTTTCTTGCAAAATAGAACTTATTCTATTTACAATCTAATTATATTGATATCATCATCATCGTTTAAAATTCAAACCAGTTGCTCCGTCATCTCTCTTTGTGTCTTCCTACATCTCAGCTTCTTAGATGGTGCGAGACACCAGCGGTATCGGACCTTTACACCGGTGACGTGAGCCACAGGGCAACTCATAAACTATACATACTATCTAGCATATAACGTAACACAATGACTATATATGTATGTATCACTTAGGTATATGCGTTATTCTATGTGCGCAAAAGCAGAAAGACTATATGGCTAGATAAATATCGAAAGGTTAGGTGATTGTTAAGAGTAAGGCAAAGTCATTATATCAGTGAGGATGAAATGATTTAAAATAACCCCTAGACTTATCTTAGCATTGAAATAATGACCTTTACCCTTTTAAAGACATTCAAAACGTTACAGATGTTCATTGCCGAACTATATTTAAATTCTTACTTTCGAGTTGCGGTCATTCCAATCCTTGCTTTCGACTTACCCTCAAGCGGTACTCTCTCTCCATATCAAGAGCGTCCTCCAACTCTCGCAGACGGATCTAAGATAGTGATATAAGTAGATTGCAGTGTTAGACTAGCTTTGCTAAGGCACATAAGCAGACTAGGCTATTCAGAGTTCTAGTCTAGCCAATGTTAGACCATCAGGTCTACTCAGTTGATACGGTCTTACCGATTTGCGAGCATGCTGTTCTTCCTCTAGCATGGTTTCTAGTTCTGATATCCGACTCTGAAATATACGGACGGTACAAGGCACATGCAGTGTGGAACCATGTCATAGATATTACATGCAACAATAGGAAGCCTCAAATACGACTCGTTTATTTTGATTGTAATATACAAATTACTGGAAATGATAAGAGAAATAAGTGGTGCAAAAGAAAAGTATTTTATCTTATAAGCGCTCAAATGAATAGATGTTTGATATAGAAAATCGCCCTTAGTTTTGTCTGGAAATCTAAGCTTTCAAGATTTTCATGGAAGAAAATGTGCCCCTAGCGAATTTATACATAATTTTAAATGGTCGACTTGAAATTTATTGGGTAGAGTTCGAAAGTCACATCATGAAGAGAGAGATGACGTCAGGAGAAGGGATGACGTCAGGAGGAGATGATACATAGTTAAGCAGATATTGCTTTGAGGCTTCCACACTTACCCATGCGTGTTCTACGTCTTTTTGTTCCAGTTCTGCTAATGTTTTGCGATTCTGGAATTAAACAGAAAGCATGCAGCATGCGACGAAAGTGCAAAGAGTTGAAGCAGATGAGAGCTGCGTATAATGAAAAAAGGGGAGAGGTTGTATTTGGATGATAAAAGATTGGCCAAAAAGAGATGAAATATTTCTAAAAGCTGCCAAATATAACAATGAATGATAATAATATTTGGCTACTCATTTCCAAAAAAATGGACTGTGGAAGGATTTTAATTGTAAAAAATTGTCCCTCTTTTTAACTCTGGTAATTTTTCCTTAACATGTCTTGATACAGCATCGTCCATATGCTTATGCAGGGCAGCAGCATCAGAAATTCTATGTGAATTTCTTCATGCCCTCTTCCCATTTGCTTTCTTCCTCCTGCAGTCAATGTATTTGTTTCTACACAACCAGCTAATGGTACAATACCTAAAATTTCCCATGTTTTTTATAGGGTTTAGTGATATAAAATAAAGCATGCAATGCAGAAAAGCTGATATCAGTGTCGTCTTGCTGCAGCTGTTGACATCTATCGGCTGTTCCTTACCCTGACGCGCGCATCCCTTTCGCTGTCCAAGGCATCTTCTAGTTCTCTTATGCGCATCTAAAATATTAGCGGGCGACCAGAATGTGAAATAAAAGCAGGTTTGGACGGGAAAGAAAGTAAACCCACATCAAAAGCACACAGAAACAATATCATTTAATTATACATGCATTAACAGATAGTATTTAATAATTTAATAATATTGTTTATTCAAAGGAAATTAAACGTTGAAAGTATTAAACTACTAGAAAAAGTTGTACTAAAAGTTTTCTAAGTATAGAGAAAAAAGTGTATTCTATGTTTAACTCTGCATCCAATCTACAGGACAAAAAAAAATAAATGTACAGCAGACACATTTCTGTCAAACAGAAACAGTACGTGTATGGTCGTAAAAAGAAGTAGCGGGAAGCAAAAATATTTTCTCTTTAGTCAATAGAAATGAGTGAATTGCAGTTGACTAAATTCTGTTAACTACCTATAGTAGATAATTCCACCTTTAGTAACACTGGAAGATGTTTTTGAAACGGTTACTTTGATTCGTAACCAAGGTTACAGGGTAACCATAGCTACACTGTTTGCGTGACCCTATAAGGTTAACTCACTCATCACTTGAAGCTTCTGCAGGCGTTGGTATTCGAAACTTGCTCGTGTAAAAAGATTAACACTGGCGTTGCGGTAACAACAATCGAAGAAGCGGCAGGGCACCGTGCTTCAAATTTCACCGTCGTATCCTTGGCATGTTTACGCGTACACATGTTATCTTATTTTGTTTACGCTCTGTTCTACAGCATTTCGTATTTCTTATAATTCCTATATAATTCTGTTTTTAAGCTTTAAAAATATTTTCTATTGTGTAGTTTCGTATTTCTTATAATTCCTATATAATTCTGTTTTTAAGCTTTAAAAATATTTTCTATTGTGTATATTTGAATAAGTTTACTCTATATTTTATCTGAAAAATGCATGTCTTTTTGACCCATTACTCTGACATTCATACTTTTAGAAAACGATGTAGTATTTTCGGTGCAGACGCGGGATATCTGAGGAGGGCTGTTCGTATACACAAGAGGTAGGCAAAGAAATGATAACAGCGGTTGTTATAAGCAAATGAAAGTGGTAGTATGGCAGCAAATAAGGAATGGAAGATGGAAGCCCCACGGGCGGCCTAAACAGCTCAGAATATTTGTATAGAATTTTTAAGTCGTGTATAATTGTGTAACAAGAAAAAATAACTAGCAAAAGTCTAGGGTACAATTCCTGATGTTACGAGACAGTTCAGAACTAGTCTTCGTGATATGGTGAAATCTTCCAGACACAGTTAAGCAGATGTTTGGTGTAGGGGTGCATTTGTTGCAGTCAGAGTAGCAACCGAAGACTTGCCCTGCTTTGCTTGCTTTGAAAATATCTGACCTGCAATCTGCAAGATTTATACAGGTGTACATTGTTAGAAAGGGTCTGTTTCCAGCTTTTCCTCAGCTGATCTGTTTGCATGAGAGAGAGAGAGAGAGAGAGAGAGAGAGGGAGGGAGGGGGGTTGACGAACCTGTCGTTTACATCATATGTTAATAAATATCCTTTCCCTTTGTGACACATTATAGTGTTTTATGCACAATTGCACAAGAGGGTCTGCTCTTGTAATGATTTTAATTTTTTAAACAATAAAACTCAAATGAAGCTTAGAAAATTTTTCGGTCGAACCTTGTTAAAAGTAATTACCATTCAGATGAACTGACATTTCATTGAAAAGTAGAACAATTTTCTTAATACAAAAAGAGGTTTTGAACACCGAAAATATAGCATCTTGCTAGGGTAAAAGATAAAAGATAAAATTCGTCTCTCAAAGCCTAGGTCCAAAAAAATCGTAACGGTGGTGAATGGGCTGACCGTTGGATTTAGACGCTACCTGTGCACTCGAGCATTGGGGCGTTTATGCTATACGTCTGCCATGTACGTGGGCAGGTAGCCATACTGCCGGGGCTAAATTTGGATGTCTACAGGTAACTGGATCTGGCAATTCTCCTATAATTCCTGGAGCCACCGCAGAAGCCAGACAGTGGTGCGTGTATATTGGATGCCCATATGGGGCAAATTTAGACGCGCGTTAAGCATTACTCACAGGCTCCGGTGAAGTACCCATGTGGTCACGTGAGCGCATGCAGTATGTGTGAACTGTGCACTGTTATCTCTGATACAAGCTCGGTTTTCACTTTACAGCCGGCTTAATGTTTTATTGGTTGATTGCTGGACGTTTTGGTTGTATTGAAACTGCATAAGATACCCGGAAACGTCCTAGTCTAGTTATGTTTCAATTCAAACCTAATGATTTTCGGAATTGGATGTTTACCTGGTGAACTGAAATATTGGGATATTTTTAAGTAAAGCAACTATTATACTATTATTAAGTAAAGCGTACACTTTGTGTATTTGCTGAATTTTGATTAGTTCTTATTTTGAATGCATATCTACAGGTACAAATGTATTTTCAATCTTGACGTTTACGTAACCAGCAAAGGAAATGTTCCGATAAATGTTTTTGGCCGCATCAATGTACCGTATGAACCATGCGTTTTCGCAGGTGTCAACGTACGATGAAATAAATTACGCGGCCGGTAAAGCTAGGGCAGAGGTGTTTTTATCAAAATAATCATTTGAAATAAAAACACATCCAAGGTTGCGTCAGCTTCTCATCTCAGATCGCTCGCCTACACGATCTGAACTCTCTACCCGAGTGTGGAATGCCGAGTTCTAACACCACTACACCATATGTGAGAAAACTTCGTGTTAAGTTACAAGACTTATTCCGTATCCGCAGCGTTCGCTTCTTACAAAGCTCCAAAAAAGAGAAACAGCGTGTAGCCTCAGCGTAGGAGGAGTCGATGTTTGTTATGCTTAGTGAGGATTTTCGTCCAAGCATTCGTGTGATTGTTGGTGATTATGTACCGTGTTATTTCTCAGATCGCGTTTCATGATTATTGCAGCGGGTGATGCCCAAACGACTTTTTTCCTCACAGTTTTTATGTCTAAAAATATTCTTGAAGATTTCTTAAAGAATTTATATTCTACACGGCACATGACATCAGTTCACATTTTGAAAAAAATGATAAATTTAGACATAACTTTATTTGAGATTTACGTTAATACTTTTGTCATCTCGGTTTGGTTCTTTACAGCTTAATAATGTTGACCACTGTATGTTACTACTAATTTTTATCATGTATTAAAATGTCCAATCATTTGAAGAAATAATTAAGAAATGGGGTTAAAACGTAATCACTTCCTATTTTCACCCACAAGTTGATCAGTCAGCCTAGGTTAAGAAATTATCCCAATGAAAATTTAATATCTCATCAATGTTTAATTTGAACTGATCAAGGAAGAATTCTGTTTTGTGGATATAATTTGGTCACTTTAAGCTTAAAGGTCACCGACGTAGGTGTGTTTACAAACGTGACCCGGCTACACCTGGCTCTTATTAAATGATTATTACCTGATGGAATTTACCAAGACGCGCTCGTATTGAGTTAAGAGCAGTTTTTGTGTGCAGACACAAGATGAAGAGTCTTATAGACTAAGGTGTGTGCAAAAAATAGGATGGGCTTATATTTAACTGTTTGGGGTCCATCTTATCTTTTTTCGGGTGATATTGAATCATTCCTTGCCTCAGGATTTAAAGTTGTAATTCCCCCCCTCTTTTCTTCACAAATATAGAACATTGATATTTTCACAGACAAATTGGATCTTCTTTTTTCCATTCCACCTTCACGTTTGCATAAATAAACAAATCATTTGTAGATTATACAGGTTGTTTAGCTCTCTCTTCCAGCCAAATTATGTTCTGACCTTTCATGTAATGCTATTCCTCGCCATAATTATATTCAGCCGTACCCAAGCGTTGCAGTTAAAGGTTAGCGTTTTTACAGGGGTACGCTTCGAATGGTTTTCCTCCCTGCTAAGTGAATAGGGGAACACTTTACCTCTTAATCAGCCTCACTTTTTATCAATGACAGAAATCGGGAATAATATGCTATGGGTTGTTATTCGATGAACTAGCTTGAGCGAAAAGCATGATCATCCCTACCAGTGTTTATCTTATGTAATGACTACATTGCACAAAAATAAACCAGATATTCGGGATGTGAGGAGATAGCATCCTACACATTAACTTAAGCCCCACCAGAGCGTCTGAACGATTTGTAAGCTTCCAGGTGTACTTCCGTAAATTATGTTCAATGCCTAGCTAGAAACATCAACCGTTTCCCTTCTATTTTGGTCGTTTAATGCCTCGGCAGAAATGTGAAGATATGTTTTTCCCTATTTTTATCTTTGGGGCATCTTCAACCAGACTGATCCTAACCGTATGCCGATTACTTCAAGGAGAAGTTGTTCAGCTGAAAGATATGTTTTGTAACCTGAAGCTGCATTAGGCTGGCTTTGCAAATATTGTCATATGTTTGTTTGGGCTTGTTTGGACAGAAAACCGGTGCGCCATTTCTCAAGATTTAGAAATAAAAGGCCCGATGTCCATACCCCTTTACTGTGTTTCAAAAGACTGAAACAACTTAGAGAGAAGTCTGTTAAGTTCAGTGCAGTATTAAGTACAGTGCAGGCAGGCCTTTCTGATCATGATACTGTATGCTGATTTGATTTGTGGACAGAATACACCATCGTTTCTTTGGACTCAGTGTAGAAATGAAAGAAATATATGAAGTACGTATAAAGAAGGTGCAGGGCACAGGTAAATGCCAAATCACTCATTCAATTAACTTGGAGCAAATTCCACAGCGAGGGCTGACTCAGGTGGAGAGCAATGCTGTGTGGGATCACTCAACGTCAAATCAGGAAATCCATCGGCCATTTTGGATTTCCAATCACTATACGTCATCGCTTCCGTCATCAATGCCTCGCGCATTCCAGGTCCTTTCAGTCTATGTCGCTTTTGAACTGCACTTTAAATATTGACAACAATTAAAGGGCTACTCAAATACACACTGTTGATCCCCTATCCCACCTTTTCTTAGGACTTAATGCAGGAATACTTGATGTTATTATGTTTGGGAAATTGCCCGTGACCTGACATTAATACTGGTTTCCATACATGGAAAAACAGTGCCAGCTGATAAAGGCGAGACGGTTTGTATCCCATCACTTTTACTTCTCTTCACATTCGAAATGAAAACGTATTCACTATCTTGAAGTTTTCCCTTGTTTTATCATTATCGTTTTTTGGTCTTATATCTCTCTCTTGGTTAACAGAAATTTAAGAAGTCCTACTTCCCCAGATTTTTCTCACTTTTCATCTAGATTAATTCCGCTGCGTTTGAAAGACTATTGCCATTAAGCCAACTTGACCAGGTAAAAAGGCTAAAATTCTAAACCTATCCTAGTGAAGTTTCCGTTCGTGTAGAGGATACACCCTAACCGTATGCAATCTGAGAGATAAGGTTTAGTATTACATATTAATGCTCCGGATCGGAGAAGTTTTATCGCCTCAAACCGAGTGTGTGTTAGGATATTCTATAGCTTTATTTTCAGATAACTTGCCGAGGCTCTCGGTTGTATATAGCCTCATACTCATCAGTCGCCTTATACCCCTCTTCACGTGTTGACCGATCTCTATATAAATTCGTCATCGATATTTGTTGAGCTTAATATTCAATAGAACGCATACACTTAAAGGTGAGGGGCATTAATAAGGTTATACCTGTGTAGTCTGACAACAGTGTGTCTTAACTTAAGAAATAAAATTTCGCTTGGTTTTTAAGGGTTAAGAAAAACAGCAAATAAAAATCGCAGCCATCCTTTAGCTTCCGATAAAGGAGGTACAGGCAGGCCAGGTTGGGGGCGTGGCCTCTTTTCTAGTTTAGTGGTAACATTGCCTTTTGCACCTGTGTATAGCTGGCATTTTCTTGCAGTATAAGGTTTAGATGAAACCGATTTCCTTCCTGGAATAACTTGAAACCCTTTTCGTTATGAATGGTTACCACGTTCTATATTGCAATTCATAAATAGTGAAAGTCAAGAAGTTATAACTCCTTGGTAAAAGGTTTTTCGACCGGGATGCCTTTCAGTATCAACCTCCATGTTGATTCAAGATTTTTATTTCTGGCTTGCTTCTTCTACCATTCTAATCCCTAGTCAGTATTCACCTACCTGTAAGTTACCTGTTATTTCTTTAAGTATATTTTCAAAGTTTGTCATCCTAAACGATACCAAATTTCTTTTCCAAAGCCTGCAGAAACTTTCATGATGATTTTGCAATATCCAATAAATTCAATTAAAAGATATATCACTTGTTATAAAATAATCTGTTGTTTTTCTTTTTCAATATTGTCACATGCTGTGACTGTTTTGACTATTACATAATGAGCATTGTTTTGTTGTATATTGTCCCTGGCGTTCTTCCGCTTACCTCCATTCTGTTGCTAGAGGAAGGCGACACACCACGGTAGACCTGGTAGGTCCTGTGGACGGTCCTCTTAACGATGCTGTCATCAGCCATGGTTCTTAGTGGTTCCCGGGTGCTGTGGGGTACAGATCCAAAAGAAAATTGAAGGTATAGCTAAAAAATTGTAAGAAACCGCACGCCACTGATCCTGAGCTGACGAGAGAAAGAGACTGACGCGATAAAGCCCTGCTTGTGAATTCTTTAAATACCCTGCAAAGTGTTTATATACGTATACCTCATCGCCGCCAGGTGGCGCTGGCAAGAGATGGGAGCCCAATATAGGGTTGCAAGGTAAAGATGCTGAAGATGACGGACCGGGAGTCATGTGACTTGGGTGGGTTTTAATGAGAGCTGCAGGGACGCTTGGAGAAAACCAGGGGGTGCAACCGCCATTATTTTACCAATTTAAGCCTATGTCGGCTGCTACAAGACAAAGGTTCAAGACCAAGCGGCTGACGTAAGATGAAGGTTTCCAGCCGATTCTAGGCTATCCTTACATGGGGTACCCTTATATGGAGAACCCTCACAGACAGACAGTTCGCTTCGCGGTGATTTATCTCTGATCACTCTGATTCAGAAAACAACCTTTCGGCCCGGAATTCCCTCCGTTAAGCTGAGAACCAAATATGCAGAAACATTTCTCTTTTCTGTGGCAGCCTCTCACTCTTCTGAATTTCTCTGCTTTAGTTTTTTCAATATTCTTATGATTTGTGTATTATCCTAATGACCTGAGTGCCGTGTGCCTGTATCACTGCCAGAGCACCAGGAGGCTAGTGTTTTCCTCCAGCCGTGTTTTCATGTCTGCGCCCAGCGGGAGGGGATTGCCTCATTCTAAACCTTGTCGCGTTTACATAACAGTGAGTCTTTGTATAGAAAACTGACCCATTAATAGAATGCCTTCAATATTTTTAATTGTATAAAAACATCTCTGTCAGTTACTTTTTTATCTTCATTGATGCGAGTTCTTCTTTGTGTAGATTAATGCTTTCTGTATGGTTTCCACAAAAAAACAATCAACAAGTTTGTTTTTCTTTCTTCTTTGCATACAGGCATTCGCATTCGATAAGAATGAATCACTTCCAGGTGAATTTGATTAGCGTTTATTACAGGTGTACGCATATTTTACTTATTTGTAATCCCAGGATTTTGCTGAGCAGCATTATATACATAAATATTCTTAGGACAATTATGTCCTCACAACCACCCCCTTCATCTCAACACCTTGGCTATTTTCAAAAAGATTTATAAACATCAAACATGCTGCCATTATCTAATTCTGTTTCTCTACTGTGTGCCTTTTTCACTTTTAGACAGATTTCAACTCAAGTGGTTTAGAACAGGTAGATAAAAGTTGCTGCTCTTTCGATTGCAAATTATTCCATTCTTTATATTAGTACATTTCTAAGAAAGTCGCTCATGTTTCTTATGCCCCCGTTGTCCATTCTTGGCGCACATGTATGTTCCATGGTGTTTTATTCTTATTAGATGAATGTCGGTGCTAATACTTTTATTTTGCTCTGTACTCACGTGCTAGAAGATAAATGGCACCTCTTGTGGATCAGTTGCGAAAAAGGGGAAAGTTTTCATTTACTTTTCGTAACCACCATTTAAAAAGATAAGTTTCTCGTAACTTTTCGGATCAGGAAACTAAAGCTGTTGAAAACTACATGCGTCGCTGATATTTATACCAGAACAGACAGTTATCTATATCAATAAATTATCACCTTGAAATCTGAGTGGTCTGTATAGATCTGAGCAGTTTTCAGGGGTGTGTTTTTCATGAATAACGTCTTAATCGCTACAATGTGTTGTGCAATAAAACAAAGTGTCTGGGAATTTTAAGCAGAGCAACAGATTAACACTTCCTTGATATTAATCAATGGGTATATTTGTGTACAGGCAAAAAAATGACACCAGCCACGGTAAAAACAATCTATTAGGCATCGTTCCGGGAAAATAGTTACACGACTTATCACATCTGCGGTGAAAGACTATACAAATCAGGCCTAACCAACTACCAGACTCGGCACCTAAGGATCCAGAATTAACCGGTATATCGGACCACACTACCCGTTTTCAAGGTATGTGTCAGATCGCATTTCGGAGTATCAGTCAGAACACCGACAGGATAAGCCCACGCTCGGCTGTCACCTTGATTATATAGTAAACGACTGTCGTATTTAATCACTATATGATTTTAAAACCGAGGGCATAAATTTGAAAGCCACCTAGATGAACCTTAGACTGCCACATCAATCTAATACAATGCAAAAAAGCCCTGTCAAAAGTGGTTAAAACATTCAAACCGAATGTCGTTAAGTCCCCATATACCCCCATAGAGACAATGAAATAGAGTACTCTAAGTAATAGATAGACCCCTCGTCTTATTTAGACCACGGGTCCATTAGCGGGTTATAACGCATTCTTGCGAGAAGTGTGGTTACGCGAGTTACACCACATCTGAGTCTTCTGTTCTTTACTTCCACTGTGGTCTAAAGTAAGAGTACAGTTTAAGGTTGTTCAGCCGAGCGTGGATGAGCCCGCAGTCGTCCTACAAAATTTGTTCTAGGGTATGATACTCCGATATGCAATCTGACACACACCTTGAAAACGGGTAGTGTGGTCCGATTTACCGGTTAATTCAGAATCCTTAGGTGCCGAGTCTGGTAGTTGGTTAGGCCTGACAAATGCACAAGTCAATACCAACACAAACTACATAGACATAAAAACAAATTGATACGTGAAATCTAAATATTGTCAAATATCAAAAGCATCAGGTCAGGTATATTACAGACTTGACATTTAATATGGAATATTTCAGTTTTAAAGGTATACCTAGGTAAAAATGCGTTCTTTTTTCAAAAAATTCAGATTTCATATAAGACATCTGACTGGAGAAGTATGAAGTCAGGTGTGTCGCTGCCAAGTAACTGCTTACCAAGTCTGTTGCACTGCTGCCTTGTGTAATATGCAGTAATTTAATTGGGCAGTGCTCCTTTGGGCTAGTCAAAGCTTGGCCTTGGCGAAGCATGGTTTTGTCAAAAAAGTATCCATATGTCGGCAAATACTGCATAGAAGAATTTGAAACTTTGCATGCAAGCGATCGGTTTTGCAGTGCGTAAAATGAGTTAAGCAGCGTTTTACATAACTGTTAAGCTGTGCCAGAATGGCGCGAAAAACACAGACATTGCAAGACAGATTATTGTGTCAAACGGAACGGTCTACACAGTTTTATAGAGTTATGCCCTGTTTGAGGCACTACACAGAGACCAAGCCCAATGCATCGACATCTTACCACCAAGGTATAGGACTCACTGTCCTTCAGGATATACTGCTGCAATTAAACCAAAACCACCGAGTCCGTTTTGAATGAGGGACAAATTGTCACCAAAACTTGTTTTTCAAGGCTCTTAGCGAACACCAAACTGATATCAGCAGGTTAGGATTCCAGACGACCTCTGAGGAAGCCACTGTAAACAGCAAAGCAGCCTAGTCTGTTTCTTTTATGAATTGGGGGCCATGACAGTTTTTGGGTAAAACAATGAAACCGCGTGGCTTTCTTCATTGAGGTCAGATTTAACCTTTACCGCTAAACTGGTCAAAACAGAGTTTACAGACATCCTGAAGAGGCCTACGACGAAGCGTGTGCCGCTTCTTAAGTGACTAGGGTCATTGACAGTGTCAGTATTTGGAGTGTATACCACATTGGTGCCAAAACACCAATGGTAGTCATCGATGAAAACCTGAACCAGATCAAATAAAGGAATAATCTGGGAACCACTTGACTATTATTTGATAGGGGGCACCTTAGGAACAATTTTAGGTTGCAGGGTGAGGTTGCCGGTTCACACAGAGCACTTTTAATAGCAGATAACTTACAGAACCAAGGGAATGAGTAGCTACCTTGGTCATCAAAATCGCCATATTTGAACCACATAGACAATATGTGGGTAGGTCATTACTCGCCGAATCAACGGCCTACATGTCCTACATCAAAACGGAGCCAAATTGGACACGTTTTAACCGTATTCTGGAATTTTATTCCAGATTAAACTCTAAAAAGCCTATCATAAGAAATGCCTTGCGGCTTGAAAGCTCTGGTAGCAGCAAGATGAGGTCAAGCGTAACAGCGACTGTTGCTGTGACTAGACACTGACATGGGGGGCCTTTGGGGGGCGTGTAACTCTTTTAAAGACAATAATTAGGAAAATATGGAGATCCAAAATATTGCTTTCAATGGTTGTCGTATGACTTAAAATTGGCAATGTATTTTTGTTTGCTTCACTGACGAATATAATTAATGAACTGATGTCACAATGACATCGAAGAGATTATCAAAAGTTATTAAAACACTATTTTAATCCTTATTTTCGTTTATCAGTTAGCAAAATAGGAAAAAAACTGATGAATTATGTTTTGGAAAAAATATTCCATATTAAATGTCAAGTCTGTATTTGGCATTTTACCTATAACAAACCAACCGGCAGATTGAAGGTAATTTATTTCATCGCGAGTGGGAGGATCGGCATTTATTTTTCTGTTTGATTTTTAAAAAGATCGCGCAATATCATTTCAGCACCATGTTATACGCAAAGGTAGCCTGGGCTGATTTAACGCTGACCTGTACAAAAACAGGTGTGTGGCTTGCTTCGTTATCAGTTATTTCCTCATTTCTCTTGCAAGGTACCTATGCATCTGTTCACCAAGAAATATGAAGTGATATGACCATTGGTATTCTCAATAAAAATGGAGAATAAATATCAAAACGCTCCGATTTTTTTCATAACTGCGTATCCATATTTATTCTTCTCTAATTTGCAGCATGTGGAACAAATTGTAAATATTGTTGCACAGTTTACTTTCACCTGAGATGTGATACATATCATCTTTGGTGTAAAATCTGAATTTCTGCTGTTTCAAACATTTCAGCAAAAAAGAACAGCGAACATATTTTTTATTAATTGTCTACGTCTGTCAAAAAAAAAAAAGGCACACACAAACCCGCACCAAGGGACACAAATATGCATTTCGCCCAACCCGTTTCCTGTAATTTAAAATATGAAATAATTTGCTGACCGATCCTATCGAAGAAATCAACTATAACAGTATTTTTTATTATATACTTACATGTTCTACCAAAAAAATAGTTCCGGTAAGTTAAAACCATGTAAATGATACACCTTACACTGCAGTTCACCACAGGGACTGCTTACCTATA